CAGCTGTTTACTGATCAAACTTGCCAAGAGTTTCAGGGCTTGCATTTCTGTCTGTGTCCTTTCATATTATAAAAATTTATATAAAAACTTTAAAAAATTTCAAAAGCTTCAAATGTATAATTTAATTGTCTATATCTACAGGTCTGTTTCTACTTAACTATAACACTTGAGGTTTTATTTCTTCTTAGCTGAGGGAGTTACTTAAGGGTGTTTTTAAAGAATCTCTTCATTTAACGCCATAAACTCCGTCATGTTGCAGTTAAGACAGAGTCAGTGGTACCTTTAGTTATTTCCTTAGTTTGGTCGTTAAGGTCTTTTGTGCAACTGTTTAACTGACTTTAAGTGATTCCTCAAGTATAAGACTAATATAAGGAGAAAACCTTAAATACTTCATACTTGAACATTTTAAGGAAATATTAACTCGGACTTTAGGGAAAAACCTTAAAGTTTTGTAACACCGGCCGGGCCAGCGTGAAATTAGATGTATACTATATGGAGAACATGTTTGAGACTGGAAAACAAACCACTCCAGTTCTCCCAGTCCCACCCGTCCCCCTCCGTGATCCGTTAGGCTCCGCCCAGTCCTTCACTACATCCTCATTGTGTTGAATCACCCTGAGAGTCGGCCATAGTGGCGTCTTCTAGCTGATCCAGTTAAGTTGTAAATGGATTTTAGGTACACGGCGCTCTGCAGCGCTTTTCCTGAAGGTCATAGGTCAAACGGTCCATCAGAGGGGTCCTTCCTGGTCAACATGAAGAAGCAATGTCGAAGATCTCCGTTTCATTATCTTTGGCGACACCTATGGCGAAACATGGTAACTGCTGGTTTGTTTATGATGTTTATGATACGTTATGTTTCCCAGTTAAACTTAAAGACACTTATTTAAATGACAGTCGTCCAGGTTTCCACTTTAAGGGCTGAAAAGACTTCTGCTGAGAAGTCTTCTAATGACTTATTAGAAAGCTAACCTTGTCACTAAATGAATATTAAGTCTTTCCAGGAGACGTCCTCTGACATTCATAGTAAATAACAGACCTGTAGATTAAAGCGTTCCCACAATCAAGACTCTAGATGCTGGATGTATAAACTATATCAACTGTATAAGGTGCACGTGACCAGACAAGACTTATCAGCATAATACAATTAAAGCTTACAGCTCGTTGCACTGCCCCCGGGGGCGCCACAAAATGTTGCTTTACGTCTAATTACTAATCAATAACTCAAACGTGGAAGTGGAAGAAGTGGGTAATCAAAAGGAGCCTCATCCATTTATTTGCCCCTCGTCATAAAAAAACCTGAACCCAAACTGCTCAAACGCAGCTGGGTCGTCACCGTGGCAACTGTAGTTGTAAAACTGCAGCTCTCTTTTTCTGACTGGAAGCAGAGAGGAAAATACTTGGTCGAATTGAGTCACACTGGTTTCTCATTGTTTTTGCCTCAGCCATAACAAGGTCTCATCTCCTGTTGAAGGGAGCCCTCTAGTGGCCGATATCGCAGTGTTACACGCGGTACCGAAACACAGGGAGAACTAAAGCACTGTGACAAATATCCTGCATGAATCCAACTGACATTTTATAGTTTTACTTGTAAGAACCACTGGATTATGGAAGAGATGAAGGAAATGTGAAAGGCCGCATGAATGAGCTCTAAAGCCCAAATTAAATCTGAAATCCACAATAAATCAACCTGATCAGTTTAACATCCCTTTGCACAGGGATCTTTAAAGGTGGAGTCGACTGCTGCAAGTGTTGCTCACATACATCATCCATGGTCATAATGGTGAACCCACACACCTGGCCTTCAACAGCTGTGTCCTTTATCCTGTCAAACTGAGGGGCTGCTGTGGCACATATCGTCATCTTTCACTGACACAGTGTTGGGGCTGGAGGTCACGTCCGTGTGGAGGAACAGGAAGAGGACTGGGGCTTGAATATAAAATTTAATCATCCATCTCATCTGCACAGATCTGCCTCAGCTCCACACTGGTTCCTGGAAACCTCCACTCAAGGTCTACTTATTCCTTTTCTGGACCTTTTGGATCACATTCGTACAGCTATCGCATCTTCAGCTCCATTTCATCTGTCGGTTAAGTTGAAAACTCAAGCTGCATTTAGAAGCTCTTTCGAGAATATTAAAAGGCAAAACCGCCTGTATTCAGAAACTGAGCCTTAAAACCAGCCGTCAGGACTTCTGGAACTTTGTGATGTCACAACGAACCCCCACCTGGATCCACCATCCAGCCATGCAGGATTTGGTTTGGAGTGTTTATCTGAAATCTGATGTATTTTATATATAAATATATGTTTAACAGTCAGCCAATCAGAAGACAGGCTCAGAGGAGATGTAATCAGCACTTCAAATAAAACAAGTCCTTTAATTAAATGGCATTTCATGGTGTTCACTCAGTTGTCATAAAGTCTGGAGCTTCAGTCATGTGAGAACAAGTAGAGGCGAGATGGTGAACCTCAAAGACGACGACCTCCGGCAGCTGATGACCTTTGTAACTCCACTGAACATGTTTTAGTGACGTCTTCCATCGAACACAGTTAATATTGAATGAGCTGCTGTTTTTGTGATTTTGACAGAAATCCAATTAAAACTCAAACTATGGGAAACACGCTGATGAGTATTCACTTCCATGTCGGACTTTAACTTCTAATCCGAGTCTCAGACGGATGAAATTCCTCTGACGGCGAGGACATTAAGACTCCGACGGGGAAATAAAACAAAGCAAAGCACAGAATCCCTTCATCTGACGGACGAAAACAAACAGGTACAAGGATGGAGTGACGCAGCTAAATGCACTCATCTTAAATGAATCTTCTGGAGGCTTCCTGATTGGTCCACAGTCAATCCTCCGCTCTCATGCTGGCTTTAGGTTATTGTCTGTAGATGGGTGACAGTGAAGAGGAGGCTATTTTAGCTGAGTAATGTAAATGTCAGCAGACGCTCGGCTGGGATCTGCCCTGATCTCTGCAAACAGTTGCTCAAATTAGACGCTAACTGCACAAACAGAGAGGGGCTTTAATAAAGCACACACCCCTGCCGCTAAGCTAATTAGAGTCATGAAGCTTATGCTAGTCTGCTAATGATAAATGCTAATTTTCCATTTGTTTGAGTTGATATTCAGATGAGAGATTCAGCGGCGGGAAACAAACAGACAAAAGAAGCTTCTGCTGCTTCACACAGTTTTTATTCTGCTACATTTTCACTGCACAACAATAAATTCTGTTTCTACTGAGTTTCTACTTGTGCTGAGAACTTGACCAGAGGACGAGCCGTCACTGCCAGGTCTACTCAGAGTCAGCAGCCTGAGCCGGGAGAGAGGAGGAGAGGAGGGGAGGAGAGGAGAGGAGGAGAGGAGAGGGGAGAAGAAGGAGGAGGACCCGAGAGGAGAAGAGAGGAGAGGGGAGAGGAGGAGAGAGAGGAGGAGAGAGGAGAGGAGAGGAGGAGAGGAGGGGAGAGAGGAGGAGAGGAGGGGAAAGAAAAGAAAAAAGTAAAGAAAAGAAAAGAAAAAAAGAAAAGAAAGGAAGGAAAAGAGAAAAAAGAAAGAAATTAAAAGAAAGGAAAGGAAAGAAAAAGAAAGAAAAAAAGGAAAAAAGAAAAGAAAAGAAAAGAAAAAGAAAGGAAGGACATAAGATTAGATGAAATACATTAAAGTATAAAAACAATCTGCCTGAACCTGAACCACCCAGATCTAGTCTATGAAGCCAGGGATCGGCACGGGCCCAGGCCCCTGAAACTGATGCCTATCCCTGCAGGTGGTGAGTCCACAGGGAGGTGGCCGGGAACTCAGAGCTCCCCTCCCAGGTCTGGCTCCAGGAGGGCGCCCCGCTTTCCCCAATCCGGGGCGAGGTGACGCAGACTCAAAGATCGCCTTTAATCCAGATACAAAACTTTAAATTGGATCCAGTTATTTCAGTGTCTCATCGGCTCAGCGTGGTCTCAGTCACAGACACCACCAGACGGCAGCCGCGTGTGAACTGCCTGCAACCGGTTTTGCAATTTGCAACTACTACTTGTAATTTCTGCTGTGGACAAATCTACGGAAAGCATGCTGGGAAAAACTGCTAAAGGGCGGTTTTCATTTTAATCTGTCGCAACAATCGAAATGCTAATATTCGTGTCACAGTCGTATGAAGAGTCGAGCCGACATGGATCTAAATACACTAGCCGATGAATGAACGTTACCTTTCCAAATTCCCTGCTTTTGGTTCTCAGCTTGTTGACCTGGGACTCGGCGATGTCGGCGCGCTCCTGGGCCTCCTCCAGCTCGTGCTGCACCTTCCTGAGCTTAGCCAGATGAGCGTTGGCCTGCTCCTCCTGCAGAAATAACAACAGAATAAACCACAGTATCGTCCTGATAAAACAACAACAACGCCCCAGTCTGAAGAGAAGATCTTACAGCTTCTTCATTCTGCCGTTTGTACGCCTTGACTTTGAGCTGCAGCTTGTCCACCAGGTCCTGCAGCCTCAAGACGGTCTTCTTGTCCTCCTCCGTCTGGTAGGTGAGCTCCTTGACTCTCCTCTCGTATTTACGGATTCCCTTGACGGTGTCAGTGGCTCGTCTCTGCTCATTCTCCACCTCGGCCTCCAGTTCACGCACCTACAACAGAAATCACAACCCCCGCCCCCCACCCCACACAAGCCCTGAAATCAGCTGTGGTCATCGTCGGTCTCAGTAACGCCACACAAATGTCAGATGGCTGAGCGTGATACCCGAGCTTCCAGTTTCTGGAGCTGCTTCTTGCCCCCCTTCAGAGCCATGTTCTCAGCTTCGTCCAGACGGTGCTGCAGATCCTTGACGGACGCCTCCAGGTTCTTCCTCATCCTCTCCAGGTGGCTGCTGGTGTCCTGCTCTTTCTTCAGCTCCTCTGCCATCATGGCCGCCTGGATTTACACAGCAAGAAATAGAAATGAATGATCATAATCCAGCTGGACATGATAACACCAGAGTCTGTTAATTGCGGAGATAATTGGGGGTAAAGATTTTTTGTATTTACATCAGTGATGGCTTTTTTGGCCTTTTCCTCTGCGTTGCGCGCCTCTTGCATTGCATCCTCCACCTCGCCCTGCAGCTGGCTGACATCTGCATCCAGCTTCCTCTTGGAGTTGAGAAGACTGGTGTTCTGCAGCCGAATCACAGATGAAATAAAAATATAAACTTCATTAGCTCTTGTTTTGGTCTCAACCGAGTCCAGAGAAAGGTGTCTGACTCTTCAGCTGCTAAACGCTCAACAATGTTCACCAGCTGGTCGCTAACTTTGATAAGTAGAGAAGATGTGAACCAAAACAGTAAAGCTGCAGGTCATAAAACCTTTAAACTCATCAAGTAATTCATCAGTTTCTCTTTATTATTAACCGATCAACTCCTTGTAGATATTTCATTATTATTTCTTGATACAGAACGATTAAAATCTTACGTCATACACCTTAAAAAATAAATAAAGCCTCACCTGAGAGTGCAGCAGCCCCAGTCTCTCGCAGGCATCAGTGAGTTCCTGCTCAGCTAGCTTGCGGCTTCTGTCCGACTGTTCCAGAGCAGCTCTGAGCTCCTCCACCTCCGCCTGCATCAGGCTGCTCCTGCGCTCCACCATGGCCACCTGCTCCTTCAGGTCGTCCTGGCTGCGCAGAGCCTCGTCCAGGTGGAGGGTTTGTTCCTGCGGGGGGGAAGAGGTGACGGTGAGTCATTTACGCAAAGTGGGTTTTAAAAGCTGTTCTAAGAGATGAACAATATTTCACTTTGAGGTGGGTCTGCATGCTCCTCAGCTGCTTCTGCACTTCAGCGGCCTGCCGGTTGGCGTGGCTCAGCTGGATCTCCATCTCGTTGAGATCGGCCTCCATCTTCTTCCTGATTCTCATGGCGTCGTTCTTGCTGCGTATCTCGGCGTCCAGGGCCGACTGCATGGTCTCCACGACGCGCTGGTGGTTGCGTTTCATCTGCTCGAGCTCCTCCTCCCTCTCGGCCAGCCGGCGATCCACCTCTCCTTTCACCTGAGTGAGCTCCAGCTGAATACGGAGAATTTTGGATTCCTCGTGCTCCAGAGAAGCCTGGACACAGATAAAGATTCATAAAAATGATTAAAAAATCTGATTGTAAGAAGAATTTAACATCTTATATCACAGAGAATTACTTCAGCCTCCTCCAGAGCAGTCTGGATCTCTGTCTTCTCAGTCTCAGTTTGTTTCTTTGTCTTCTCCAGCTCATGGATGGCTTTACCATTCTCTCCAAGTTGTTCACTCAGATCCGAGATTTCCTCTAAAAATTACAAAAACATATCAACAATTATTCTTCTCATGATGTCAAATATAAACTATAAAAAACTCGATGATTAACACACATCCTTGTAAAATCATGTTCGAGGCTGAACCGTCCTATTAACCGAGCAGTGTGACTGTAGGTGATATACACACGTTGCAGGTTTTTATTCTCTCGTTTGAGGACCTCCAGATGCTCCAGAGCTTCCTCGTAAGAGTTCTTCATTTTGAAGAGCTCAGTGTTGAGGGAGCGCGACTCCTTCAGCGATCCCTCCAGCTCGGCCTGACTCTCCTCGAACTTCTGCTTCCACTCGGACACAATCTGAGGAAGACAAGGCGAGTTCATTAACACAGCAGGCGACTCAAAGTGCTTTACAGAGGAATGGAAATACATAAAAACTGCAGACACAAAAGCACCATTTGCACCAATTTGTTTTGGATAAGAACAGGCATCGTTAACGCTGCTGTCTTTGTTACCTTATCAAAACTCCTCTGCTTTTTATCCAGGCTGGCGGCCTGAGCGTTCGCCCTCTCCACATCCGTCATGAGATCCTCCACCTCTCCTTGCAGCCTCTGCTTCGTCTTCTCCAAAGACGAGCACTTGGCGTTGGCGGCCTCCATGGCCTCCTCGGCTTCCTGTAAACGTTGGGCGAGCTTTTTCCTGTGAATCATACATTGAAAAACATGAACAACAGTTTGTCATTTATTACATATCTAAAGTAAATATTCTCACTTGGCCTCTTCCAGTTCATCGTTGCGCTGGATGGCATCGGTCTCATATTTGGTTCTCCACTGGGCGACCTCGCCGTTGGCCTTGGACATGGCCCTCTGCAGCTCGGCCTTGGCCTCCTGCTCCTCCTCAAACTGCTCCCTCAGCAGATCGCAGTCGTGACGGGCGGATTGGAGAGCATGGGCGAGGGCGCTCTTAGCCTGACGGAGAAACAGATATACAGAACTGAAGGTTAAGACGAGGAAAGAGTTCCCGCATGTAACTTCTCTGTTAAACCACAACTCGGTCGGTACCTTCGACTCTTCTTCCACCTGCCTTTTCAGTTCCTCAATCTGCTGAGTGAAGGCGAGTTTAGCCCTCGACATCTGAGAGAGAATCGCCTCCTTCTCCTCAAGGAGACGACAAAACTCACCTGGTTTGAGAGATGTTAGAAAATAAATTAGAGAAGACAGAAGCGTTCGCCTCTGTTGGTCAGTTGAAGAAGATGTACAGTCTCTCAGGTGCATACCGTTCTCACTCTGAAGTCTTGCCCTTTGAGCATTTATTTCAGTGATCAGACGAGAGTTCTCATCATGCTTCGTCCTGTATTCACTCAGCTGGTCTTCCAGAGAGTGGCACAGCTTCTCAAAACTCATCTGATATCAGTAAGAAATGACATTAACGAAGCCGTTTACTGTGACATTTTGATTGAATGTATTTACTACGCTGGTGTTTTCTCACCTTCGCCTTGGCCGTGACCTCTATGTTTCCGGAGAGGTCGTCGATCTCCATCTTGCACTCGCTCTTCTCCTTCTCCAGCTTCTGTTTGACTCTCTGCAGGTTGTCGAGCTGCTCCCCCAGCTCGGCCACGCTGTCAGCGTGTTTCTTCCTCAAAGCCGCGGCGGTGGCCTCGTGGTGGAGCGTCGACTCTTCCAGGTCTCGTCTCAGTTTCTGAAACTCGGCCTCTCGCTTCTTGTTCATCTCTATCTGTGTGGCGGTGGCTCCTCCGGCCTCCTCCAGCCTCTCGCTGATCTCCTCCAGCTCCCTGGACAGATCGGACCTCTGCTTTTCCACTTTGGCTCTCGCGACGCGCTCCGACTCCATCTCCTCCTCCAGCTCTTCGATGCGAGCCTAGGCAAACCGACCGTCAACAGGTCAATCAAAGGTCATCCTTCATTTAAATTTCTATCTTTCTTCAAGTACCTGAAGCTCCTTGATCTTCTTCTGAGACTGCACAGCCACGTTCTGCTCATCTTCAATTTTGGCGACAAGATGGCTGAAGTCAAGGTCTTTCCTGTCACACCGAACAAAACCATGTGATTAGACACTGTATTAATTACTTATCATTTCTTTTAAGCACGGCACACTTTTATTTATCTATTTATCTTTCATTAAATTCGGAAAAAGCATCGATTTTACACCGTATCAGTATTATTATATATTCATTTGTAGTATGTTTGACACAAACTTTACAGCCAAGCTCTTCCAGAGGTTTTCTCTTATAAAAACAGCTTTAATTATTTACAACTGAACGGAAATTGAACATTTCACCTTATATACTACAGAGGGTTGTACTACAGTTTTTAGCCGGGAGTGGGGGGGTATTTGTATCATTGATATTCCACCCTTCAAATAAGATGTCACCCATATATACAGCATCACATCTACAAAGAGTGTTGACTCCAAATACATTATTAATATGTTTATGAAATGTTTATGTAATAAAAACTTTTTAAAACAATATTTTTCCCACCAGAATTTTCTCTTCTGGAAATAATCTTATTATATTTACATGATGTGGATTTGAACGTTGAGAAGCAGCATTTTCATGATTTACGTCTCTCTCCTGTTTCCTGTTTTTTTCCCTTCAAGGTTTCAAAACTCGGGAATTCCCCCCTTTGTGAACAAGTGTATATATAATAATTATACATACTTCTTAAGGCGTTCCTCCAGCTGTTGCTTGTCGTTTTCCAAATCCATCATGGATTCCTGGGTTAGTTTCAGATCTCCTTCCAGCTTCCTTTTCGCCCTCTCCACATCCATCCGGGACTTCTTCTCTTGTTCCAGAGAGCCCTCAAGCTAACACATGCACATGTTGTCAGCAAAAAAAAATCCCTCAAGCCACACGGAGCTATGATTTCCAAAATGTAAAGACCTACATCATCCACTTGTTGCTCCAGCTTGACCTTAGCTTTGGTCAGAGAGTTGACTTTGTCCTCCTCCGCCTGCAGGTCATCCAGTGTCTGCTGGTGGGCCTCCTGCAGGGCCAGCTTCTCCTTGGATAACTTGGCCACGTTGTCATCCAGAGTAGACATCTCTTCGGTCAGATTCTTCACCTAAATGTGGAAGAAGAGGTTTTGCAGGTCGCGTGGGAACCGTGAGTAAATGTGTTTGGTACTGTGGTCGGGGGTTGGGGTTACCTTGTTTTCAGTGGCGTGTTTTTCCTTCTCCACTTTAGCCAGAGTGAGCTCCAAGTCATCGATGTCTTTCTTCAGCTCGGAGCACTCATCCTCCAGCTTCCTTTTCTTGGCGGTCAGCTCGGCGTTGACCTCCTCCTCGTCCTCTAGTCGCTCGCTCAGTTCTTTGGCTTTGGCCTCGAGCGAGATCTTGTTCTTTATCAGTCCTTCACACCTCTCCTCAGCATCTGCCAGACTCTCACTTTCCTGTTCAACGAGAAACACAATATTCCTTTATGTAGCACGCAGGACTCCTTACATTTGACCTGCTCTAACAGTCATATGAGTTTTCTCCACTCACAGATTGAATCTGCAGACACAAGTCATTCTTCTCCTGAAGCAGAGAAACCATTTTGGCTTCCAGCTCCTTCCTCTTAGTCTCAGCTTTGGCTAAATCCTCCTTACACTTGGTGAAGTCCACCTTCATGATGGCCATCTCCTTCTCAGTCTCAGCACTCCTCAGGAGCGGCTTGATCTTGAAGTAGAGCTTCATCCACGGCCAGTGTTTTACATTCATGAAAGAGCGGATGTTGTACTGGACAATGTAAATGGATTCTCTGGAAAGCGATGGGAGTCATTTCTTAGTTCCTGGGTTCAACATGTTTCAGAAAACATGCAACATATAAAGACCCGACAGCCTTTGATGTACATGTGTCTGAGTATCTATGGTCATATCTACAGTAAGTCCGGTTACCTCCTCTCCATCATTTTCTGAAACTCCTTCCTTCTGAGAAAGCCGCGACACAAGGCTTGAGTAATGGTGATGAGAGAAGCCAGTTTTTCATCCCTCATTTCCTCTAGTAAACCCAAGAGTCCTGCTTTGAAGAACACCTTCAGAAAATACAGATGTGGGTGTGCCATCCATAAAACACTTGGTAACTCTAATAATAATAATAACTTTATTTATATAGCAGTTTTCTCTTAACAAACCAGATAAAAGAGAAGTCCAAAATACCTGAGCATAATAAAAAAAAGAGTAGAACAGTATAAATAAAAAACATCTCAAATCAACATTATATAAAGATCTGACAGTGAGTGAAAAGAGGCAATAAAATATGTAAAAACAAAAGTATCTAGTATCATAGTATCAGATTTTTAGTATAAACGGTTCAGTATGTAAACAAACTATGTAATACGAGGTGTCATCTGCAAAAGTGTTGACCTGAGAGGACGCAGCAAACACACACCTGAGCAGCAGGTGTGTGTTTGACGAATGTTGGAAACATTTCTACTTCGAAGGTTTCAGATGCTGTTTGAAACGTGCCGAGGCCTTTAGTCACATTAACTCTAACTCACCTTGGTGTGCCCAAACTTGTACTGGGTGTGATCTACATCGATAGACCCCAGGAGCTTCTCAGCAGCCTTCTTGTTGTCGATGAACTGTCCCTCGGGAATCACACTAGCATTTAGTACTTTGTACCTACAAGAAAAATTAAACAAGAGATTAAACTAAAGTTGTTTTCTAATTTCTCAAAGAGCATGTCTTTACTTTGTTTTTTTTTATTTTTACCTCTGCTTGAAATCCCCGTACAGAATCCGACTGGGGAAGCCCTTCCTGCAGATCCTGATTCCTTCCAGCACGCCATTACATCGCAGCTGATGGATGACCAGATGGTGCTCCATTATCCCTAAAGAGTCGGCGGAGCGACGTTAAAACGGAGCTGACCGAGAGACCTTTAAAGTCTGATAAGGAGCGTTTTGTGACGTACCTGGAGTTTTAGTTTCATTTGGAATCAGACACCTGACAAAGTGAGGATGGGTGCTCTTCAGATTCGTCATCAGCTTTCCCAGGTTCTCCTGTGAGGGATCATCACTGTCACTGCTTTGCTAACTAAAATCACACAAACACTGGCTGTGTGTTTTCTGTAAGTTACCCTGAAGAGCGCCGACACAGTCTGGAAGGACGAGCCTTTCTTCTTTGATGCTTTCTTAGCAGCAGTGCCAGCTCCGCCACTTCCTCCACCGGGGTTTTCTAAAAGAATTGAAATGTGTTAATCTCCATTATAAGGCTGAAGACCTTTCAACTGGACTGAACTGGTTATAACCCAGCGGTTCTCACCATCAGATGAAGAGTAGGTAGAATAGAGGAAGGCTAACAGCTTGAGGCCAGCTTTCTGATACAGCTGGACCACAGTCTCATTCAGCGGGTCCTTGTTCTTGTCCAGCCAGCCCGTGATGCTGTAGTCTACGGTGCCAGCGTAGTGCACCAGGGAGAAGTGAGCCTCAGCCTTGCCTTTGACAGGCTTGGGCTTCTGGAAGTTGCTCGATTTCCCCAGATGTTGGTCGTACAGCTTGTTTTTGAAAGTGGTGTCTGACGCCTTGGGGAACATACACTCCTCTTCGAGGATGGAGAAGATTCCCATCGGCTGTCGAGGATGGTCAGAAAATGTGTAAAATAAAAAGTAATTATGCTTTTTTTTTTTTTTTTTTTTTTTAAAACAGTGTGTGATATGTTGTTTGAATAAACCCACCTTTTCAATGAGCTCTATACAAGCAGCCAGGTCCATCCCGAAGTCAATGAACTCCCACTCGATTCCCTCTTTCTTATACTCCTCCTGCTCCAGCACGAACATGTGATGGTTGAAAAACTGTTGCAGTTTCTCGTTGGTGAAGTTGATGCACAGCTGCTCCAGACTGTTGTACTGCAAAAACAACAGCGACACTCATTATAGAAATACCAGCAGAAAACCACACACTGCTCAGTGCTCGCTTACATCAAAGATCTCAAACCCAGCGATGTCCAGGACTCCGATGAAGAACTGTCTGGGCTGCTTGGTGTCCAGCATCTGATTGATGCGGAGGACCATCCACATAAACATCTTCTCATAGACGGATTTGGCCAGAGCGCCGATAGAGTTGTAGACCTGCACAGAGGCATGCTCCGGTGAGATTGCAACACATTGTGACCTATTTTACACCATGAATACCAGTGCTTTTGGTGCTGATTTAATCTGATTTTAATAAGATTAATGAGGTACATTATGTAAACTATTATAAGGAATAATATATGATGAGGGCCTGAGGACCCTGTTGGAATCGCTCCATAAAAATCTATCGCTTTTTTCAGGGTCTAATGTGCTTGAAACTATAGAATTTCCCCTCATCCTATGTTTCACCTACATGTACGAAATTCAGGAAACACATGTAACATGCCAAGACCTACAAAAAAGCCTCTTGTGCTCATACCGTAAACCCAACAGGAAGTCAGCCATTCTGAATTTAATCTACAATTTTCGAGCCGTTTTTGCCATTTACAGGCGATGTACTTTAATGAACTCCTCCCAGGGAATAGATCAGACCAAACTTGGTCAGAAAATGACCTCGATGATGCCTCATTAATGGCAAATTTCTGTTTCGCCATGAAACAGGAAGTTATTATATATCACATATAGGCTGTTGATGACAGTCCCACGCTGAAGACATCTGCATGCTAACATGAAGTCAGCGACAATGTGACAATCATCATTTGATTTACATGAAACGTTCACGCCCTAGTTTACACTTCACAGCAACATTATGCGTGTTGGCGGCATCAAGTGGCTCCTCCCCAGCAACACCGAGGGTGTGCAACAGGGCGAGGGCGAGGGCGAGGGCGAGGGCCTGCTCGATGCTTTTATTCATAATGGTTTGCTGGCACACAAATGTACCTGCTGAACAGTCTGCCCTTTGGTCACATACTCATTCCCAACCTTCACTCTGGGGTAACACAGTGCTTTCAGCAGGTCTGCAGAGTTCAGACCCATCAGGTACGCTGATTTGTCAGCCACTGCTCAAACACAAAGATGAAAGAAGAGAAATACAGAGCAGAACGTGATGAAAGGGAAGAAAAGATAAAAAAGTAAAGATTTACAGACGATCGTCACAGACGGTAAAGAAAAGAAAAATCAAAAAGATTAAGGCAGACTTTCATGGATCACAGTTACCCTCTGTTCCATCTGGCTCCGCCTGCTCCTCTCTCTGCTTCTGCTTGAACTTCATATTCCCATAATGCATCACAGCACCTGTCAGCTTGTAGATGCCAATCCTCTCCTCTCCAGTGAAGCCGAGGACCTCGATAGCGCTCTGAAAGCACACACCACAGCCCACGTATGAACATGTGTGTGTGTGAGCAGAGATGAGACAGAAAACTGAAAGATGTGAACTCTTACATGAGTGGCCATGAGCTCGTCACTGTCGTTGATACTGGCCACACTGATCTCCCCCTGGCTGATGAACGGGAAGTCGAAGGGGTTGGTGGTGATGAGGAGAGTCTCTGGGAGGAAAAATATAAAAACACTGTGAGTAGAACTTTACTTACAGACAGGTGACAGGTGTGTTTCTCCCAGGTGTTACCTATGAGCTCGGGCTTCTTGTTGGACATGATCTGGTAGAAAATATGGTAACTCCTCTCGGACGCCAGTTGAAACGTTACTCTGGATTTTTCCAACAAGTCTGACAAAAAATAAAACAAGACTGACGTCAGCAAAAGACTCTAAAGGACTGAATATCACACGTCTCTGTTGTGCTCCAGCTCACAAGTTTCAATATCAGCCGAAGCCAGTTTTCCTGTCGTTCCAAAGTGGATTCTTATGAATTTGCCCTGAAAGAGGGAAAAAAAAAAAGCACGATGCAAAAATCCAGTGACTGAAAACGACAAATCATTTTATGGGTGTGAACAAAGTTTTTCACTCACAAAACGTGAAGAATTATCATTTCTGACAGTCTTGGCGTTTCCGAAAGCCTCCAGCAGAGGGTTAGCAGAGATGATCTGGTCCTCCAGGTTCCCCTGCAGCAGCCGAGAGAAGACGTGACAGATTCTGACAATGACGTGATGAAGTTTCACTGTGATGAAAGTGTATAAAAACATTCTAATAATCACCTGTAATTTTCCAGAGGTGTTAGCATCTTTCTTCCTGTCCCCAGACCCTGCAATTGTCGCAAAGTACTGGATGACACGTTTGGTGTTGACGGTCTTTCCTGCACCGGATTCTCCGCTGCAGACCGGGAAAAAAGACACACACACACACACACACACACCGCAGATGTCTCACTTCCTGTTGGGTTAAATGAGTATCAAAGATAAGTCGCAAACCATTTGCAGCTTCAGCTTACGTGATCAGGATGGACTGGTTTTCTCGATCTAGAAGAAAAAACACAACACCATCAGTGACGTTAGAAAAGAGAACATTATGGGAACCTGAGTACGACTACGTTAAGCACAGGATCAGTTTACCAGTGAGCATGAACTGGTAGGCGTTGTCAGAGATGGAGAAGATGTGTGGTGGAGCCTCCTGGCGCTTTTTGCCCCTGTAGGCCACCACCACCTGCTGGTTGTAGACTGGGAGCCACTTATAAGGGTTCACAGTGACACAGAACAGCCCTGAGTAGGTCTGCAATAAAATACAATAAAATGCTTGGATTTGAAGGTTAAAAGATCAATCAATCAATCACTTTATTTGCCCCCTGTGGGGCAGTTGGGTATGCAGCAGTGGGATATATGCAGTGAGCTAACATAAAAACACAGGGAACATAAATACATCACCATGACCTGAAGATCTGTCTGTTTGTTTTGGCTAAAGTCTGAGGAGGGAACCCAACAGACATCTTGGTTAAAAGCAGGTTAAAGTCCAGTTCACAAATAAAAGTGTTGTATTCATCTACAGACCATAAATTAAATGGAAAATCTGAGGCGTGTCACTGAGTGAGTCTCCAGAACAGCTTCGACCTTGTCACAGATTCTCCAGGTCTGAGCACTGTACTGAAGCATGAACAACCAGAACATATTCCCTCCTGACGGTGGTGGAGAGTATTTGAAGCCAATATGTCTCCAAAGGGATTAAATGCAAGAATATGAAGCATTTGACATATTAACGTGTGAACACATTGTAACGCAACTTCTAAAAAAAAAAGAAAAAGAGACCTTCCTCCGACTTGAACTGAATTCTAGTTTCCAGGAAAATCCAAATGATGGGGCAAAATAACCTTATAATCCTTTCTTACTATGAAAATGAGCAGTTTACTGTGTGTGTAACTTTCTTTGCCTCAATAAAATATATTTGATAAAATACTGAGGACCCTGTTAGACAACAGAGTTAATTGTTGGATTTGCTGAACTTCTAATATCTAACAAAAAAAACTTCCACTTTTTAAACTAATGACATTTTTATCGTTGACATCTTCATCTTGTGATTACAACATTTTCCCAAACACTGCAGCTGCACAAATATGAAAACAACTAGAGTTAATCTGCTGTTCTGACACCAGCATTATTGGTAGAGAAAAACCCCTAGTTTTGACCTGTGACCTTTAAACTGCAGAAAAAGATAATACATGATTGATCACAAACGTCATCACAGTCCCTCCTCCATCTCTCTGATGTTGGTCTACACGCTCTCTGTCAGCAGCAGCTCCTCTGACACACAGCATCACTCACGTAGATCATCCACGCTGCGTAACGCTCTTTGAGGTTGTACAGCACGGCGGCCTCGTTCAGGTGCGTCATCATGGCCATGTCCTCGATCTTGTCGAACTTGGGCGGGTTCATGGGGAAGACTTGGTCATCCTTCACCGTGACGACCTGTGATGGCGAAGAGAGACGTGACCTTCATCAGCAGAACAGCACGGAGACCGCCAGCGAACACTTTGCCTGATGTGCGAGTGATTCTTAAACTGCAAGTGCAGCAATTCGATTTAGTGTTTTATATCAATTGTTTGTGCTTTGTGATATTTTATTTCCCTCAATAAAAATGTATGAAGTAACTTAAATCTGTTTAATTAAAACTGCCTCGTGCACCTGGTCACTTACCTGCCCTGCCTCAGTTTTAACGGTTGCTTTGCCGCCGTCTTTACTTTGCAGCGTGCCTTTAACAAACAGCTCCTTTGGATCCACCACAAACACTGCAGTTTTGGCATCGAAGGGCCTGTTCTGGGCTTCGATTCTCTCTCGTTCAGGTCTCCTCAGGTACGGAGCAGCCTCCCCGAATACGCTCATGTCACTGTCCGAACTCATGTCCAGATCACACCCCTGAGGGGACTGAAAGGTCCAGTGTTAGAAGAACAGTAACAGTGATATCGGTCACTCTTATCAGTATCAACTCCTACCTGTGCGAGATACAGACGATCTGCTTACGTCTCCTGCAGACACCTGTCTCAGAGACACAATGAGATGCTACCAGGAGAGTCGGTCTCTATCACATCCACACACAACGTTGAATCAGCACAATGCCCTCACCAGCAGGAGCCCCTGCTGAAAAATGTGGACAGCTTTGACCCTTCCTGCTTTTATAAGGTCCCCCTTGTTGCTTTAGCAGAGACGGCAAACACCTATATTTAGGTCAAAGCCTCTAATGAATGTGGGCGGAGAGAAGTGATTAGTTTTGGCATGTGATATCACGGAGATGTTGCTGAGCTTTTGTTATAAATCCGCGGCGGGGAGCAACTGCAGCTCAAGAAAAGAATGAAAGCAAAGGGTGAGGGTGACCTCAGCCAGAGACACACACTCCAGGCACGCAGAGACCAACACGGGGGTTTGTCGAGCATCTTGATCGCTGCGTTTCCAACAAAGATTACATTAAAACCATTCGGTCCTCGTGATGTCTAAAACGTTGTGTTTAAAGTTATTCAAAGGAAACGTTTAAATAAATGTGCTTTCTTTCTGAGAGTGAGATGAGAAGTTTGAGATCCAGCTCACGTCTGATCCGGGGTCAGGTGGTGTGTTTGTTGTTTTGCTGTTTTAACAAGTAATCCCCCCTTAAATTATCTTTTTTATATCTCTGCTTTTTGTATGGATTAAACTAATGAAGTGAAATTAATTATTAAGTTAAATTTAGAGGCGTAAGTAGAAGTTTATTCTTTCTTCCCCCACTTTGGCCAGGCTAGCTGTTTCCCCCACACTTCCAGACTTTATGCTAAGCTAAGCTAGGCTATGCTAACCAACCATCCTCATACTTATCATGAGAGTGGAATGATTCTTCTCATCGAATCCTCAGAGAGAAAGTAACGGCTACTATTAAACTCTTATGTGAAGGTGTACAGTGTTATTTTAGATGTGATTCTGTACATTAGATTCTCACACTGTATTTCGTCTATATAATTATAAAGTATATTGACTATTGAAGTGTATTATTGGATATTGGTTTATCCTTCCAATAAACATGTATTTATATTGTATTGTTTGTCTTTTCTCCGTAACTTTACTTAATTTCTGTCTTGCTTTTTTTGGATTTACTGTCTGGCTGTTGTTATATTCTGTTTTTTAATGTGCTGAATAAATAAAGTTGTTTTTTATTATTAAACATATGAAACATTATGCTTCAGAATCTGCTCTTTGTGTGTGTCACAGTGATTATTGGTGTATTTGGTATTATGGTGGTACATAAATACATACCTTTCGATACTGAAGTATGATCCATGAGCCTTGTGATTTGTTTGACAAGCTTATAAATAAAAACATAGCTGATGAATCCCTCAATAGGAAATTCCGTCAGAGATTACAGTGGGCTAATGGTCGTGTCAGAGACTTGGAGCCCTCTTTTCTCTCCTGCCATCATCTCCCAGAGAATCAGCTCCGAGGGACACCGGAGGACAGCGGGGGTGAAAAACAAGACGCTGCAATATCACAAGACGATGAAGACAAATGTCAGGAATAATGTAAAAGAATGAAAACAATAGAAACTTATTAAATAGGGGAAACTGTGAGAGTAAAATCATTCAAAATAATACTTTACTATGTGATTAATTAAAAGAAATAATTCAAGACTTTTGGGAAAATTTTCATCATTTCCAAGAGATGAGAAGATTGACTCCACTCTCACGTCTGTGCATTTAGTACAGAGCTGGAGCAGGATGTGGTTAGCCTAGCTTAGCTTAGCATAAGGTTTGCAGGGAGAGGGGAAACAGCTGGTCTTAAGTCCAACATTAGAGAGTTTTAGAAGAGGTTTTTGTACAGGTACCCCAGAGACCCACCCAGCAGCTGTTCACAAAGAACTAACACTTCACTCACCATTAAACCATTAATTCATTTTTCTTGAGTTCTAATTATTATTATCATATCACATAGAATTATATATATTATTATATTGTTGAAACATTTTTTAAATTTGATATATTATAAAGAATATTGCACATAGCGGGAAATATATATTATCAAATATTGGCTCAAGCCTAGTTGGAGTGTTTAGTGGTATTGGTAAAACGTGTCTACATGCAGTTACATGCCGTCAGTGTGATGTTACAGGCCATAAGGTGTAAGTAAGGTGGCAGGACATTAAAATGAGTAAACATCTCCACCAACTCTGAGAGAACTGAGGTCTTCAAACTGTCAGTCATGTTTATATCTGCTGTCAGTGTCATGAGAGTAAGATTAGATGGCTGTAAACTGACAAGAGGGGTGCTAAATCATGAACAAGCATCCAATGAACCTATGACTCTCACTGCCTCCACCTTAAACATGGGCGACTTTAGGGAATTAATCAGGAGTGAGATATTCTTAGCGAGTGTCCTCAAAAGGACAATGATAGTCAGTTTGGGGATAATGATGCAATGCAGATTATCACCGCAGCCACAAACTGCCTTTCACTTGCCTTTTTTATAACCACCATGTGTTTGTATTGATTAAATAACTGCTTCAGACATTTTGAACGTCACCTCCTCACGAGTCTCAGAAAGCCGAAGCGAATGCAGTGGATTGCAGCTAGAGTTCGTTCTAATCTTTAATGCAACAGATGGTAAAATCTCACGGCTTATGAGTTAATGTCAAGTCAAGTTCAAGTTGTCTAAATTAAGGGCTGCTAAGCAGAGGTCACTCAGTCTATTATCTGTCAGAGGTGCACTTTGATATCATTTGATGGACAGCTGTTAACATTCATTGCTGCCTGAGCTCATTAATTATCATTAAAAATATATTAAAGCAATACATTTAGGTAAACTGAATAGATTTTGATGGGTACATTTATTGTAGAAACTGCTGTTTTGTCAGTGTCAGCTTTAGTTGTTTATCCTGGACAAATGTAAAAGAAGAAAACTGAACTTTAATTTTTTATAAGGTTAGACATTATATATATTGCAGCCACGTTGTGATAATCCTTAAGAAGCATTATATGGAAATGTATTTTTCCTTGCGAATGAAAAGGAGACCACAGCGCCCTCAAGTGTCACTGCTGAGAAACAACAAGCATCATGTGCATTATGTGGAAACTTAAACTTCAATTAAACCGTTTAATCAACTGCTCATTTTATTAGTTTTGAGTTACTGTCAGAATAAATTGTTGTTTTAATTAAAAAAAAGAAAATCTGTATTGTTGTTGTATTTGTTGAGTAATGTTTGCACATAAACCTTTATTATATGAAAGAAATAGTTTTCTTTCCCTTAGTAAATTCAATGCCTTCGTTAAAGAATATCCACGTTCAAATAAAAAATATTGTGTAAATATTTAAATTTTTCCTGTCTGCCGGGAGCTGTATCGGAAAACAAGTGATCGCCTGCCGACGCCACGATTTCCGCTTTTCAAAGTAAGAGCACGCAGTCTTCTTTGAGCCGTTTTATTTCCTCAAATAATCAGCGACAAGTAACGTGCGTTACGTTAACGGCTGTAAGATATTATGTGACAGAAGTGGTGATATTTGTTTTTGTTAAGAAATGACATATTACAATTTTATTGTTCATTGATAATATGCAGGCTAGGCTAACGTTAACCACTAAACCGGAACCCGTTGCCAAGGTGACAGGAAGGGTGACCGCGACCCCAGTGGCGGGCGCGAACCACTTTGGGCCCCCTAACTTCTGTATAGGCTGAAATTAGGATCGAAATGATTTTGAGCTTGTAATGTTTACAAATAATTCCAATGTTTGTAGTTGTAAATCAACCTTTGTAAACCGACCGGAGGCTCCGACACTTTTATAGGAGCACCTACCCGGAGATGAGCTGCCACAGATCCGTTTTACTAGTTTGTATGGCGGCTAGGAGCTCACTCACTTAAGACAGGAAATACAACTGCTCACTTCTCAGACCCATGGCAAACTGTTAGCTAACATGTTGTTTACGCACAGTTTCAACAGAAAGACCAGAAGTATGATTTCAATGAAGTTATTTTAACATGATGCCGGCTGCTGTTAACTCTGCTTACCTCGTAGTATGAGAAACATTCAACCAAGATGTCGTCCTGCACGGAACGCACCTCAAAACTACGGTGTCCCACAGCGGTGAAACAACACCAAAAACCGATTCACCTCGGAATAAACATCGCAGCTGGCTTATTTAGGCTACTGCCCTACACATGCATAACTGTATGTATACATGTATGTACAATATATGCATGTATGTGCAAGTGCTTAGTATCAGTATATTTGTATGTTTAAGTGAAGTATTCAGTTTTGTCTAAGCAGCTTCTCATAGAATTGACTAAAACTGAGTGACACACATTGATATTGTGGATAATAGCAAACCGAGAAATAGATTTATTGAACATAGAATAGATTTTAATTTGCTCAGGTGACGGTGTTATTTGCTCAAAATATTTTTTCTTCAAAATATAATTTGTGTGTTTGCAAAATGTATTTGTCTGTGGACAAAAAGTCCCACTGTGCGCTCAGGAATGAGGCACAAAAATAACTTCATACTTTTACAGTAATTACTATAAATGTTTGCTCAGAATATAAACTACAATCCAGTCTCCTGGAAACACTTCCATTGTGTTGTAGGACTGAATTTGCAGCATTTTCTCACATGTAGCAAAGTTGTGCTATAGTTAAATGGACAGAGGACTTCAGTCATATACAACTGTTTTCCTTACACCTTCTGAACTTTCCAAACTTTGGTCAAAAGCTTTTTATGAGTTCATGTGACTTTTGCAGTGTGGACCCAAAAGAATCAAGTATGAAAACAAAGAAAATGAAATGCACCTTTAATTGTACACCAAAAACAGAGAGGACCGTTACAAGTACCTCGGTTCTCCCGTTCTTCTTTGTACGTGGATTTAGTGAGGTGGAACAAGATGCAGCATTAAAACATCCCATGGACAGAGTTTGAATTTGCACATTACACTAGGCACAATAACACAGCACTAAGCACATCTTCCATTACACATATTCAGTATCCACCACATTCTTACTACAAAAGCACATTCGCATCAACAGACGAAAATCAAAACTGGCCGGACAGAAAAATGGCCAAAATGCATTCTCATTCAGCTTCTGTGTGCTTACAGTAAACCTACAGTAACATGAAGCAGAAGCTAGCAGCACTTAGCCCAAACAGACAAATGCTGAGCATAAACTGTACGTTATCTTTACAGTCAATATGTATTTTAAATTCACAAAAGACATGCTGAAACAAATACAAATAGATTTTATTGTGTTGTGGAGGTACTCTGTAAGTCAAGTGTTTTAACCCTATAACTTGACACAATGTGCTTATGTAAACAAGTTAAAAAGAGAAAGTGAGAAAAAGACAGATCTAATTGAAAACGGCATAGATCAAGACTGCTACTTATACAAGAGGTGATGTTTGACATATACTGTGTAGGTATTTTCTCATTTTAGTTTTTTTAAAACAGGCAAATTGCTTAAGAGTTAACAAAAATCGAATAAAATACTGTGTGCTCGACTGGCTGTGTGAAAGTAGAGCAGGTAAAAACAAAATCTAACAATATAAATCATCTCTCTCTTTCAGTTTTACTTGATTCTTAAATCAGAAAATTAGTCTTATGTTCATGGATTTCAATAAACATCCTTTTTTCATCTTTTAATATTTCTTATACATATTCAGTGCACATTTTTCAGCGACTGTTATTCTGATATATTCTACACTAGTGTTGGTTTTGGCAACATGCATTTACTTTAACCAGCATTTTTTTCATCACCAGTCTATTAATAAAGATGCATAGATCATCATCAAAAAAAAAAAAAAAAAAAAAAAAAAAAAAAAAAGCACCAATATATAGTACCAATATGAACTCTTCAAAAACCTTTAGAGGTATTTCTGTATGTGTATATTTGCATTTACATTGCTGACAGTGGTGTGGTACACTCCCAAAAAGTACGCGTAAAATAAGGAGTTAAAAATAAACAGTTGTAGAGTTTGTAAGTCGAGGTCACTTTCCTATGTTTATGTATTGCACATGCGCGATGCTACTAACGGCTCGTGGAGACTGTTTATTTAAATTAGAAATTTCAGTGTGTAGTGGCGTGCTTTGTTGTTGTGAGTGAATGACTCATTAATGCAACACAGCACTGAGAACTATTGATAAGCCTTTTGTGAAGAGGACCACGGAGAAAACGCTCCAGTGGCTGATATTAGTTATTTTTGAACGGAAACGTTCCACATTGGGAACCCAAATAAAACGCACAGGAAGCAGACACGTTCAAATCTGCTCCTTTACTTCACATGGATCCACTTTGAGGCGTTTTGTCCTTTGTTTTCGTGTCACAGTTATCTCAGTCAAAGAGGTTAAAATGTGGATCACACCCGGTCTCGTAGCGCCCCCTTGTGGACAAACGAGTTAATGTCATCTCCCAACACAGTTCAATGAGTGTCTGCTTTCGTGTACAACATCGAACCTCTATTTACCTTCCTTTCTCAGGAGTATGGCAACGCCTCTGCAAGACAGCGACCGCTCCAGGCCTCGACCCCCAGCGGTGTGGTGATGATATCGGTGCTGCGGTGGTCACCCAAGAGAAACGTCCCCTAACCAGGAAGCGGAGCCGCTGGGCTCTTGCGTGGAAGAGGGCGTTCACTGCCTCTTGCTGTCCAGGATGGCCCTCCAGTCGTCCGACCAAGACAGGAGTCGCCTCTGGGAGGGGCTGATGGGTAGATGCTTGTTGTGGCAGGCGGTGAACAGGATGTGCTCCCAAGTTGGTTGGAGCTCCACACCTGATCAGGATCACAGGTTAAGCACATACGTTACACGTGGAAGTAGCTTAAGCTAAACCCATATTGTAAATCTACTTTATTCTCTGTTCTGTAGACACGACATCTATTGCATGTCTGTCCATCCTGGAGGAGCGATCCCTGCTCTGTTGCTCTTTGGGAAGTTTTTCCTTGTACGTTTCAAGGGTCTAAAGTCAGAGGATGTTGTAATGCTACACAGATTGTTTGTTTGTTTCTGATTTATGACATTGGGTTATACAAATCAAATCTGACAGTGCAAATGAAGCGCTGAAGGAGATGTATGCAAATGAAAACAGTATCAACAACCACATGACATTTTATCTGCATGTTGTTCATTTTCATGCTATTCTCTGAAATGTATTTACATTTTGATCCTGTTCTGTCACTACCCTTTTGTCTGATAGTCAGGTTGTGTCAGTTAGTAAACCCCTCCCTGGAAACAGTGGGTTTGTCCAATTAGAGTTTAGCATCTGTAATTAGGCCTACTGAGACTGAGGATTTCTCCACAGGATTTTGGCAAATTACACGGCAGCACCCTCAGCCAACATTACCTACGATAGTTAGCTGAAGTTAACTTAATTAGCTAGCGAGCTAAAGATGATCAAATCTGCCAGAAAAAAACCAAAGTTATCTGACAAGAAATAAGAAACTGGTTTGTCTACCTGTGTCTGGAATGCAGATTCACAGTGGGGGCTTTTCTTTGCATCACTGTCAATCCATTTGTTACATAAATCGCTGACTCCATTAAAATGTTAATTAGCAAGCATTATTGTTGTTGTGACAACCGAAACACTGCATGTTCACACACATTAACATGTATACAGTCCTCACCTAGAATGTCGGGCTTGTCGTCTATGAGGATGTCTCCGGAGACTACTGTCTTGTCCCGGGTCAGGATGACCTGCTCCAGAAAGTCATGGCCCAAATGCTTCTCTACCCAAGCGTACTGGACGGACACACACACACACACACACACACACACACACACACACACACACACACACACACACACACATATGCAGCAGATCTCATTAGAAAAAGGACACACAGTAATCATTTCCAAAGTGCACTGGCAGAAGACTTACCTTCTCATACGGGCAGTGTTTGTAGTGCTTTATTGGGCTGGTACATATAAAGACATCTGTGCTGCAAAAATAAGGACAAAACAACACAACCAGAGAGGAAAATGTAAAAACATACAAACATTTTTATATTCCAGCTGCTGATACCTGACAGCCACACTCATGAGTCATTGGAAATAATTGATATCTTGGCTTTTGGACAATGTATTCATTAATTATATTATAACATCTACTTTTATCGCAGCACTACAGATTTAATAATAACACTCAGACTTATTGCACTTTTATTGCACATAACACTAAAACTAGATGTTGTAGAGTTTCAGCTTCAGTCTTTGCAATAAGTTTTGCAAACCACTAGATGTCACTGTGCTGCTGTTTGAAGCTTCACAAGGTGTCATCTGCCCATCACTACAATTTAGAAAAATTATATTTTCTGTAAAGTAATAAAATGCCTTTGTAGAGGTGAATTTGTATATTGTATTTCTCTTGCTTCCACAACATATTTATCATATTTAACATCACATGTATGAATGTATGAAATTCATGCATTCACATATAACAGCTGCTGGATGTGTGCTAGATTAGCTATATCATGCAGAACCCCATAATATAAGATGACTGCAGTGCACACAGATGGAGGTTCACCTGCAATAATTGCATCTTCAAGACTTACTTATCCATCTTGGCCATCTCCTTGACTGCCTCCACTCCTCCTGGCAGGGGCTCCAGCTCCATGAAGAAACCTTTGGATTGCCAGATACTGATGGCTTTTTCCTGGAGTCAAAGCACACACATGCATGCAGCTTATCAATAATCAGTGTACATTGATCTTTGCTTTAGGTTTTGAGTGTGTATCCACGTGAGTGTGCATGCGCTCTGGAAGAGGAATGTCCAAAAATTCATAAAGTCCAGTTTTTCAAGGTCAGTTAAATATATACCTTGACAGTGACAAAGCAGCAAAGAACTGAGCAAAACACCCTCTGTGTTTATCTCCACCTTGCTGAGCATAGACCTTGCACCCTTGGCCTGATTTACAATCTCTATGTCATATGACATGATAACAACCAGGGAAATGCCGTCTGCAGTCTTTCTTTTTACTGATGTCTCTGCCTGTTTAAACTACTGTCAATACACTATGTTTGAATTTTCCCTAAAACATCTGCACTATGCATCTGCCCTTGGCAAGTACCCAGCCAGTCAGGAGCAGAGTCCATAATACCCTGAAGGTGAGGCCCTGGGTTATTCATTCATTTAATATACGCAGACTGATTTCCAGGCTTTCTGTCCCCTTGTACACTGAATGACATTTAAAAACAAAACATGATTAGAAATGTGCAAATGCACACACATTATTGTTATTTCAATAAATCAAAAGCAAATCAAAGTTGACACCCACTGACTTGCAAGCCCATTGGAATATGTTTCTGAGGGACCAACAATATTTCATGTTGGTAATTATCAAACTTCAACTTACAAACCCTACAGAGCCCCGCCACTATCAGGGATATATTCTTGTGAATTTAATTCTGGTGAAATCTAACTATTTTAAGTTATTTTACTGGGCACCCCTGGATGCAAACATGCATGCATGTCACTTACGCTCAGGTCACTCCTCAGCTTCCCATACTGCGTTGACACCCAAAACCCTCTCCTGTCATCCAGGGTGATGTAGGGCTCGTCAGGGTACCTGGCCCGGTACTTCTTCAAGAAACCCCCCTCGAAGTCCGCCAGGACCCCGTCCATGTCAACCAGAACCCGCAGTCTGTTACCCGAGAGAGAGGAGGACGACATGTTTACGCAAATCCTCTTGAACGGATCACGAAGCAAAGTTTTTCCTCTTCCGAACAGGCGTGTAGTGCTGGACAGTATCATTGTTGACTGAAGAGACTGCAGCAGCACCGGCCACTGTTTCTACCGTTAACACTGTCCAAACGGCGAAACTGGAGATGAAGTCCGCATGAACGTCGAGAAGTTTTCCCAAATACTGCGACTGTTAAACTGTGTCGGTACTTAACACTGGTTGTATTGTTTTATTGTCTTTTCATGAAGTTTTGTTTTAACGGCTGCTTTAACTTTATTGGGCGGCTCTCTGCCAGTCAGTTACAGCTGAGCTAACGGTCAGTAGCTAACTTTAGCATAGCAGCGGGCAGGTCAAATGTAACATGCCTTTTTACAGTGTTCTGGGAGCTGTTTGCATCGTTTTGTCAGTGTGTATTAACTGCCCGGCAGCTACACGCAGTCTCTCCCGAGCCCACAGCATCTCTGACAATGACTGCTGGAGCGACCGAAACTGAAACGAGAGGTGAACATCTGGTACTGCGGCACCAAGGTGAGAAAAGCTCCGCAGTGAGAACAAACTGTACTACAATCCTGCTCGCAGCAAAGATATTTGTGCTTAACAGGATGGCTCACTCCACTCCTGTTTTCAATAAGTGAGACCTACGTACAAGTCACAATTTGCAGTTTTACTATATTGCAGATTAAAAAGAAGAAAATGATACAACATTATTAGTAATATATTATTATTATTATTATTATTATTATTATTATCATCATGATTATTATATTATAATAGTATTGGTAGTAGTAGTAGAATCATAATAAAAGTGCAAAGGGTGCATTTTTAAGCATTTGAGGCGTCATTTGTGAATTCTGTTTAAATTTGACAAGTAATAAATACCCAATTTTAAATGGATAAAGTTATTTCTTAAAATGACTGGATGATTGGATTGAAGGAATGAATCAAGATTTCAACCGTGTAACATTTTTCACCCTACAATGAAGTTTTTGGGATCCACTGACTGTACATAAAATGCAAAATATTTGAAAATGTGCCAAAAATAAATGTTATATTTTCTGTACTTTTTTTTTTTGCTCATCTTCAATTAATGTAATGATTCACTGTAACACTTAAAAATAGGTTAGTTGTCTAACCAAAGAGTAAGGTCCTGGGTTTGAACCCTGAATATGATAAGCAGTGTAGAGAATGGATGGGTGGATATGAAATGTACCCAGTTCCTCAGTTTTCAAAATAACAGGTGAATACTTTATGCATTTCGTTAAAAAATAAAAAAAAAATACAACAATCACAGATAACATAATCAACTATTGCTTTATCTTGTTTTTTAGAAGTACAAGAAACTTTGGTGTCCAGTTTACATTCAGAGGATGCTTTAAATTCAGTTCGATAGGAGCTCTTACATCTTCTAACATCTTTGTTCAAAACCCGGTAAATTGTACGTCAGTTCCTGTATTTCCTTTTTCCTAAAGGGAAAAACTTTCGGTGCAGCCTTAAATGGACTAATTTAGTCCTTTAACACATAAACATGCACAATAAGTTACAATTTCCTAATAAAAAATAATATTACGAAAATCGTGGCCACTGTGTAACAAATACTATCAGCAAAACATGTACCTGCCACTTTAAGAATCCAATGGTCGGTTCGTAAATCTCGTTGCAGTCTGTTCTGCTCATATGATCTCGCGATAGCTTCACCTCAGTGGCGGCTGTGTGGCCCCCTGTCTCAGTCCGGACGGAGTTGTTTCTGACGTTTGAATGAAAAACAGTGCAAATTACCTCCACTTTGGACCCAGGAAATAATGGCTTCAGCCTTGGAGCAGTTTGTGAACAATGTGCGGCAGCTCTCCGCTCAAGGTAGGGTTGCTAAACTCATTCGAGTGGGAAGTATTAGCTGGTTAGCTAGCATATGCTATCCAATGCCTTGCCGATAGCTAGGCAGCCAAACTGGTCAGAGCCCTCTTTTTGCTTTATCATGTAAACACACCATTAAAATGACTTTCTCTGGCTGCGAGAGTTCTGTAAAGTATCAACAGAAGATGCGTTAGTACACTGTGACGCCACGGATAACCGCGAACTGAGTAGCTTATCAAACAAAATGTCAAAATCATACTTTTTGTTTTTGATCTAGAAAATAAATTCTGGGGACTGCCTACCGGTAGTCCCGCCCTGGCCCCACATGATTGGCTGGCGAACTGAATTAGCGAATATCATTGGTTCAAAGTCATCTGTCAATCCCCCTTGCATTACCTCTGTTGCAAGGCCTTTACAGGACACTTGACCGGCCGATTTATATTGAAATACTCGGCCGCAGAACGATGGTTATAAACAATTTTCTAAGTCAGTTTGTTTTGTACATTTGGAAAGAATAACCACTCTGCAGTCGTAGACAAGAAAATGAAAAATTTGCCTTTTGTTTTACCACTCAAACAATAAAGAAAATGTTTCAACATACTTGAAAGAATATATTGCCCTCTACTTCTTGGTGGATTTTATTAATTTAATCTCATTATTTACAATTACTGCGGTAGGGGGAGTGTTTTAATAACATATCTAGTTTTGGTAACCATTGCAGGTACATCTTTGAGCATGTGTCCTTCTAATGTGCCACAGCATGTAATAAGCCAGTGCTGTAGAAACTTAGTGATGGTAAATCCAAGTACATATAAGTACATAAATTAAGAAACAGCAGGCCTACGTAAAAACAGTGATTTCTAAAATGTAATCTGTATCTTGCACACTGTCTTAGATATTTTGAGATATGTGTCTTTCCAACGATCTAAAGAGCTTGCAAGAAGGTTCAAAGAGGTTTACTTTCTCTATTTTTTTCCTCCCCTCCACCTTGCCTTCTTCTGCCCCCAGGCCAGATGACTCAGCTGTGCGAGTTGATCAACAAGAGTGGGGAGCTGCTGGCCAAAAATCTGTCCCACCTGGACACGGTGCTGGGGGCTTTGGACATCCAGGAGCACTCCCTCGGTGTGCTGGCTGTGCTGTAAGTAGCCTCCTTCTTCACTAACTTTTTCCAGGTTTGCCACCATCACTGCAGTTACCCATGGTCAAGAACTTTTTCTCGGTCTCTAGTGAAATTTGCTGCTGTTGATTTGTTAAATTCTGTCTTATACTGTGTTTTCTCTACACCCCTGCCTGCATTATGCTCCTTGCTTCTGCTCCACTTTTCTCTTAACTGGGGCAATAGATTGTGTTTTTGTTGTGTCTGTTGAAGGTCGTATTGTACTTTTTGTGATGAATAGGGTAGAGGTAGTGGAGCTTGGCAGAAAGAAATAAGGAGAGACACACAACTTTGTTGCTAGTCCATTTGTTATTATGTCGGTTAAAATAAAACACATAAATTATTTAGTATTGCTATGACTTTTATTATAAGCTACCTGTTGCATGTAACAGAAAAAATTATGTAGTCTTGAAGCAGCTGAAGGCTACCTGTTGCATGTACATCTATTAATGAAGGCATGAAACAGTTGAACACTGTAGCGGTGGGAAATATTTATTCTGTTATTTGGAAAGTCAAGAAATGCCTGTGCTGCATTCAGCATTTACAGTTATGAAATTTACTATGATTAAAAAGTTGAGTTGCACCTACACAAAACCCACAACTAGGAAAAACACTGAATAAAGTAGTTTTATTATTAATTAGCTATGACCACACTAGGTATTATTAGTTCACATCTGCATCCCAAACCTCAATACTTCAAATTCTTGACCGATTATATTCCATGCATTTTTCACATGGAAAAACTTAACATGTGGAATTGATCTAAAAAATAAACCATCCAATTAAGTATTTTCATTCCATTTCCATTCCACATATCAAAGTGTTGGTACGGGTTAAGCTTTAAGGCTTACATCAAGGTCTCCTTGTTGGAGGGAATGTTTTTTGCTGACCTCCTCCTCTTTTGTTCCAGATTTGTGAAGTTCTCCATGCCAAACATCCCTGACTTTGAGACGCTCTTCTCCCAAGTCCAGCTCTTCATCAGTACCTGCAATGGGGAACACATTAGATATGCAACAGACACTTGTAAGTCCTGACTAACCAAAACTCTTGCTCCTCGATGTTTAGGAAGCATGTTGGTCTCCTGATGGTTTTTTCTATGTTGCACAGATTCATGCTACACTGATCAACATCCTTTTTATTGTGTTGAGAGCATTCGCTCCATTTGAATATGTACAACTCTGCCACGTTTTATCTAAATTATACCCACTTCTTCATATGCAAGTGATTTTAATTAGTTGTGACCACATATCATGTACAGACTGTGTGTCTACTTACAAGTGTTGTAAGATGTTTTTCAGTATCAACTAAAAGTAAGAACACATTTTATTGTGTTGCATTGTTATGGCATCTGTAATGTGGATTGTGGGTGTGTTTGTATTGTATTAGTACTGTAGTGTGGTGTTCAATAGTATCTACTGTTGTATACCACGTTCTATTTCTGCTAAGTTCTTGATCTCAGATAAATTATTACAATGAAGTAAGAGTTTCATTCAGTTAACTTGTGGAAAATGTTGTGATTGTATATATGAACTCATTTGTGTTACATAAATTGCATTAAAGTATAGATATACTATGTCCTCTAGAGATGTGAACAGTGCATGATAGTTAATCAACTGCTAATCTGTCTAGAACAGTCAATCATCAATTTACATTGAACATTGTCCTTTCCTTCTCTCCTTTCCCTTCCCTTGTAGTTGCTGGTCTTTGCCACCAGTTGACAAATGCCCTTGTAGAGCGGAAACAGGTAAGACTGTTAATTCTGACTATGGTGGGAGTGAAATGTCTGATTATATATCATTAGAGAGCTTTAATTTAAAATATCTTTTTAAACTCCAAATGAATCAGTACCCAATGTAGGGTGTTATAGAGGAAAGATGCATATGCTTATGTGTTATCTTTAAGAGTCAGCACTTAAAAAAAAAAAAATGTTTTCTGCACATAATTCCCCAGATCTGTACAGGAAAGATGTATTTTCTTCAGTGGCCACTCCTTTATAAATGATGCAAATTTCTCATGCTGTTATGTTTGTCCAAAAAAGTTTGTTTTCATTCATGATTCACAGTGGCCTTTGCAGTAGTCTGCAGTGCTGTGGTTACTAATGAAGACTGAATTGTTTGAATATCAGCTTAAAATGCAGAATGCAAATAAGGTTAATTAATTTATTTCGGACTAGTGTCTGTTTCTGTAGTTTTTATTTATTTATTCAGTTGCACCTCGTCCGCCTGTGGTTGGTTTGTGAATCATACAGCTCGAGCTTCCATCAAACCATCTCTGCACAGTTGAACATAGTGTGAATAGTGTGTATTTATTGACAGAGCGTTGTGTTGGGCCTGTAGAAGGCCTCCAACTCCAAACACAAGCCAAGCGACCATGAACTCTTTATATCAGCAACAGTGATCTCTATAATTTTCAGTCATAATCCTTCTTTCTCTTACACGTATGTGCTGATATGCGCCCGTGTTGACACTCACGATGCACTTTATTAGGAACACCTGTTTCTCCTCTTCTTCATGCAATTATCCTGTCAGCCAATCATGTAACAACAGTGGAATGCAGATGCAGATCAAGAGCTTCAGATAATGTTCGAATCACACATTGGAATGGGGAAAAATTGGATCTCAGGGACTTGGACTGTGGGAAGATTGTTGGTGCCAGACGCGCCGGTTTCACTATTTCTGAAACTGATCTTCACACACAACAGTCTCTAAAGTTTTTATACAGAATTGTACAAAGCACACCCAGTGGGTGGGGGTTCTGTGGATGGAAATGCCTTGTTGATGAGAGAGGTCAGAGGAGAACGGTCAGGCTGTTTGGAGCTGACAGAAAGGCTACAGTAACCCAGATAACCACTCCTTTACAATAGTGGTGAGCAGAAAAGCATCTCAGAATGAACAACACATCCAACCATGAGGTGGATGGTTTATAACAGCAGAAGACGTCAAGTTTGACGGTGGTGGTCTGAAGGTGTGGGGAATGTTTTCTTGTCACACTTTGAGCCCCTTTAAACCAATCAGTCATGGTTTGAATGCCACAGCTTCAGTACTGTTACAGACCATGTGCATCCCTTTATGGCCACTTCCAGCATGATCACTCACCAAGTCACGCAAAAGTTGTCTCAAGCTGGTTTCACGAACATGACAAAGACTTCAGTGTAGTTAAATGGCCTCCCCTCCCACCTTTGGGATGTTGTAGAACAGGAGATTGGCAGCATTAACGTGCAGCTGACAAATCTGCAGAAATGATGTGATGCAGTCATGTCGACACGGAACAGAATCTCAGCATAATGTTTCTAACATCTTGCAGTATGGTGTTCCTAATAAAGTGCCCTTCAAATTTTAAACAGCTCTTGACAGAACACACGCTCAGCTCCTCTGCACTAGAATCATATGACCCAAGTCTGTGTTGTCACATAGAGATAGCAAAAGACACCACTTCCTTCCACCTGAATACATTTGTTCGTGTTGATGTTTTTGTGGTTTTCCATGATGTTCTCATTGCTGTGAAGTGTCCTTGTCAACTTGCCCATTTTATGTATGTGTGTTATTGTATGTTGTATGTGTGTGTGTGTGTGTGTGTGTGTGTGTGTGTGTGTGTGTTGTGTGTGTGTGTGATGTTTATATTAATATAATATTATATATATATATTTATACACACATGGTGTTTTAAAGGGCACTGTGCAGTGTCTCGAGAATGTAACTCGTGAATGGGTGAAATGTATCTAATGAAATGTTCCATGCATCTTGCTGCAAAAGCAATTTACCTCTTGGGGACAGTGAAACAATTAAATTTAAATCCTATTTTTCAAAACAGTCAGGGCCAAATGAGTCATCCTACTACTACTACAACAGCACCCAAGAGTGGCATGTTTTTCTTCTTCTTCTTCTTCTTGATCTAAATATTTAAATGCATTTTAAAGTGTGGTACAGGCCTAGGCCATTTTCAGTGTGTTAGGATCTCTAAAGCAAGCTGCAGCTGAATAACTCAATATTTCCTTTTCTTACAGCCATTGAGGGGTGTCGTTGTCCTAAAACAGGCGATAGACAAAATGCAGATGAACACAAACCAACTTACCTCAGTTCATGCAGACCTGTGTCAGGTGAGTCAATGCCCCTGCTGCATCTTCATCATGTCTGTAATCTTAAAAGGCCTCATGCTTTGACTTGCACATTTGATTTAGCTACTGAATGTGATCAGTTAGGCTGTGTTATCTGTAATCAACATCTACTCCTTTTGTTTTTGATGGATTCTTCCTCCCAAGTGCACTCATGGTTGAATATGCAGTTCATGGGCTGTTGCATTATTCAAAGACGAGCTGAGGCGCAGTTTAACCATGTCCAGTGTAACCTGTCGGTCACCCTCTCTACATACCTGTCTCCCTGCAGCTGTGCTTGTTAGCAAAGTGCTTCAAGCCCGCCCTGCCCTTCTTGGAGCTGGACATGATGGACATCTGTAAGGAGAATGGAGCCTATGACGCAAAGCACTTTTTATGTTACTACTACTACGGTGGCATGATCTACACGGGCCTCAAAAACTTCGAAAGAGCACTGTATTTTTATGAACAGGTACTTTATTGTGTTTTATTGGCACTTGCGTTATGTAGTAGAATTTATTTTTAGAAAATTGCCCTCTAATGTGACCAGTAATTGTTGTGAATTTGTCACTTGTACCCATGTGTGTACCCACGTGTATTGCCTGAATACACATTAAACTGTCAGTTTCTCTGTGGTGTTTCTGTGAATGATAACATTTCTAATTTTCCCCTGTCAGGCAATAACCACTCCAGCCATGGCAGTGAGCCACATCATGTTGGAAGCCTATAAGAAATACATCCTGGTGTCACTCATTCTCCACGGCAAAGTGCAGCAGCTGCCCAAATACACCTCACAAATAGTAGGGAGGTTCATCAAGGTAAGGACGCATGGAATGGGTGAAATGAAAAGTATTTGGGCTTTGTTCTTTCAGTATACAGACATGAAGTTACACCCTCATCAGGTTTCAATACTCAGTAATTGGTTATCAGGAGTGATTTACAGGTAGAATTTCATTTGTACTTAAAGACAGAGACTGCTGTTCATAGAATAAAACAAAAGCACAGCGGTAACAGAAAATGCTGATGATCATGAAAGGTTCCTCTGTAAGGCTCGTTGAGTTTCCATGCACAGTAGCTAATGTCCATCCACCTCTGAAGGAAATGCAGGAACTTATTCAGTAATTGTTTTTGCTTTTATTGTGAGCACGTTGTCAAAGTCACTTAAGATCTATGCATGCAGCTTATCTTTACATTTTGCTGTTTGTGTTTTCCTTCTTCAGCCCCTGAGCAATGCATACCACGAGTTAGCTCAGGTTTATACCACCAACAACCCGGCAGAGCTGCGCAGCCTGGTCAACAAACACAGCGAGACCTTCACACGAGACAACAACACAGGCCTGGTCAAACAGTGCCTCTCCTCCCTCTACAAGAAGAACATCCAGAGGCTAACAAAGGTGGGTGTGTGGATGTGTGTCTGTTACACGAGCACGTGTCTTTTACTTCTATATTAACACACACACACCACATGAGAAAAGTGTGAATGAAAATCTTCCAGTCATCGCTCATGCCACGAACCGTACTGTATGCTGGCGATTATACTCGGGCTAGGAATGATGTTTAGACTTTACATTAGGCTGCACACAAGGCATGAATTCCCTCAGTCGCGGTGTGTAAGAGCGAGAGGTGAGTAATCTACCAGTGTAATGTGTGTATCACAATATGAGAGTTGACACATTTTAATACTTCGCTTATCTTGATATCACAATGTTGCTTTGATTCCTGCTCATAAAGGCTTCACTACAGTGAGCTGCTGAGTCTGAGAAAATAATGATTTAAAAGTTGTACATTTCATTTACAAACTTTAGCATGTTGTAGTAAGTATAAGATATTTATGAAATAAATGTTTTTGTGTGAGATTTTTAGCAACAACCGGTTGGAAAATCTCCAGTATTATTGGTCCAGACCCCTGATGTGATATGGTAGTTGTGGGAACTGGAATCTAATGTTTTGATTCTGATTCTGTTTAAATATCTGTGTCTCTCTTACGTGTCTCCTGCAGACCTTCCTGACACTGTCTCTGCAAGACATGGCGAGTCGAGTGCAGCTGTCAGGCCCCCAGGAAGCAGAGAAATACGTCTTACACATGGTGAGTTGGTCCAGAGTGACTAAAGTATACTAATATCTACGCAGTACATTTATTTTATATCTTTTATTATATTTTATGGGAGCTTTTTTGTATTTTTGGGGGGCACATCTTACACAGTAGATGGTGAGGGATTTGTTTGATTTATTTATCGTAAAAAAACAAAATAAAACAAGTCCAGATAGATTTAAAGGTTTTAGATTTAACTTTCCGTGAGTTTAGTATCAATTGGTGCAGGTTGTGTTTCGCTTTTTTTCCTCATGTCGCTCTTTGTACTTCTTTGTAGATTGAAGATGGCGAGATCTACGCTAGCATTAACCAAAAGGATGGTATGGTCTGCTTCCATGACAACCCCGAAAAATACAACAACCCAGCAATGCTCCACAAAATTGACCAAGAGGTGAAGATGCCCCTCTCTATTTTCAGTTTTCAGTCTTGCTTTGAATGAACTCTTAATCTTATGTATGAATCCTTTGGTATTATTATCAGTCACTACTTTTAAAGTGAAGTTATATCATTTCTCTCTTTCCAGATGTTGAAATGTATAGAGCTGGATGAGAAACTAAAGTCTATGGATCAAGAAATCACAGTAAACCCACAATTTGTGCAGAAGGTGAGACAATGTTTAACAACATCAAATATGTAAATATTAATAGTTTTTTCTGATATTTGGACTTTTTTAACGTATGTATGGGTTGGGTTTTGCTCTTAAATATTTCTATGCGAATGTCATGTGTTTTATGTCTCAGTGGAAGATTTGCAGTCTTACAGTTTATGGTACAAAGATGCATCCATATTTGGTAGAATGATGAATGGAAAGTAGTCACATTTGCATAAAACATGCACTTTTTGGTGTCACAGACATATAACAATCCCAAACAGGATGTAAGTCGTTCAGGAGAGTTCCTTGAAGTAGATTTTTCTTGAGTTGTCTAAAGTGATTTTCTGAGCAAAAAAACTGGAATGCATGTATCCACATAATTTAGTTGTATAACTGCTTCCTGGAAAAGGCCACTGGTTAGTCCCAAAAGATAAAACAGCCAGTACAATAGTGACACTGTAGCGGAAACCTGTTTGCAACCAGTTATTGCGTCTGTTGCGTCTGTCGACACGTGACACTTTTTTTTTTTTCTTCCCCCCACAGAGTATGGGATCGCAGGAGGATGATGTTGGTAGCAAAACATCAAGTTACTCCTGAGGGGCCTTGGACAGGGAGAGAACGCTGCAGCCACCCAACACGTTCTTCCCAGGATGGGTTGGATTTTTTAAAAGAGGAAGACAAACATTCTATTGCATAAGGACATTGGTCAAGGAAAATCTAATTGTGTGGAATGATGATAAATTTGGTTATTCTTTCTTCACAGTGTCTTAAGGATAACAAAAGATCCTTACAGAAAAGGAAAAAAAACATTACAATTTTGTCAGTGTTTTATTTATCAATGTTCAGGTTGGAGCGCCACTGCTACATTAACAGAAACCACAATAATAAAAACTGGACTTATTTGTTCCAAACGTATGTGTGAATAATCTCACTGTTTGTTTTGGTTCTGCTGCATGATGGCCGTAACTCGAGGGCATTACATATGAGGTAAAACATCTATGGCTGACGAGGAATAAATCTGATATATTCTACATTTGTAAAGACTGATCGTTTCCCTCTCACTCCTTTTGGTTAGAATGTAGATATCATTGATAGCGAAACTGTACACGTGTACATGCCCTTGACCAAACTCGGCACAATGGAGGAGTCGTTCACAATCTGGTGCACTGTTTTGTTTTTTGTTTTTTTGTTTGTTTTTTTTGTTTTTTTTTTTTCCTTTTTTTTTGGGGTTTTGTTTTGTTTTTTAGGTCGGATCCACTAGAGGTCGCTAGAGCACTGTACAGAAAACCGTTTTGACAGCTTGTTACTACAAGAGGTGAAGTCAACAGATGAATCCAAACTGTCATGTCATTTGGGAGCTTGAGCTTTGCGATTGTGGATCTGTTAATAATAAATTGTTTAAGAATATAGTTCTGGGTTTCATGCCTTTGTGAAAAGATTCTCATCCGCTTGGTTCTGCATGTACTATGATGTGGATATGAATTTCCATCCACTCTTGATTGTCACATTTTAACATTCTGGACTGATTGACAGCGAGGTTGATGTATGCGTCGACCAATGAACGTCCTTATACAGGCGGATGTGGTTTGCAGGAAAATGTGACCAATCACCGCGCAGCACCGATTTCGAAGAGGCGGGACTTAATCGTTAAAGGAAAGTTGGTAAACGTCAATCACGCGCAGCTCCTTCCGCTCATTGGCCGACCGTTATGAATGAGGTGGGTCTTGATGACACTCACCGTGTAAGCTACTGTTGAAATTCCAGTGCTAACCAACTTTAGCCAGCTTGCTAACATGTAATTCAGCGAATGTGAAGAACTACACACAAGGCGCTCCTCCGGATTTAAATGCATAAATAACATTTCATTTCCAATTGAGGAATATTTGGAAATTCGCCTTCATGTTTGCCACTGCGCGCGTCTCCGTTACTGCAACCAGGACATGTCCAGTTAGCCAGAACGCAGCAATCGGTGGATAACGAACCTGGCGAGCTAGCCAGCCAGCCAGCCCGTTTGGACTCGGTCTGCGTTGAGGGATTCGACCAGGTTTCATCGCCCAGAGGACAGTAAAGCCGGATGCTGTGACTACCATGAGTCCTGCAGGCTGCCCCCATGTCAACGGCTTCAAAGTGGACAACTGGAAGCAGAACCTGAGGGTCATTTATCAGTGTTTCGTGTGGAGCGGTTCAGCCGAGACCAGAAAGCGCAAGGTAACAAGTGACAGGCGGAAACGAGTGTTTTGAAGGGACCCAAAACGTACGACAGACTGTATGTGAGTGTGAGTGAGAGAGAGAGAGATAGCATCGCGTGCGTGGACAGTTCCCCGCCCTTCCAAAACAACCCAAACGTCCGACACACTGATAGTCACTCTGACTGTTTGCCCTCAGTCAAATACTCCCCACGCTCAGTAGTGTAGTTTTGCCTTGTTATCGGGCTCGAACTTGTCTAAATGGCCACCCTCGACACCTGACACACTCGGCACACCTGCGGAACAGCCCAAACTGAAGCAAACTACTAGCATGTCACCGAGTTAGCCCCGCGCGACCGAACGTTAGCCCACTCCAAAGCTAGAGACGGCGTCATAGTTATGAAGCTGATGTGCATCTGTTTGCATTGGCACTGCGCCTGCAGTGGCTGCACTTCCCTCCACCAGCAGACCTCCGTCCAGCATTACATGGTGGTATTTCCTCACTGTCACAGGCGTGGGGTTAATAATGGGTGTAAAATCAACTAAGCAGCACTCTTTACCTGTTATCCTGCTAAGGCCAATCCACATTGATGATATGTGGATCAAAACAGGTTTAATTTCACGCGGGTACAGCTTGTCTCTTAATAGAGGAAACCACCTTTTTTCATTCTTTCTTTTTTCATGTTCATTGTAAAGGTTTATGTAACATGTGGGTGCAGATTTCCACAATATTAGCGTGTTGAATTTGCATCTGCAGTGTGTGCCTGTGTGCCTACATGCATCCTGCACTCCTATGTGCTGTGGGACAACCCTGTGTCCCCTGTCACGTGCATGGGATCAGAGGGTTTATGGACTGAAATGAATGGTGTAAATATTTGTAGGGTCTCCTCCTGCCGTAATCGCCCGGTTCTCTACCCCTGTGCCTCTGCCCCCACCCTACAGGAGCAGACAAGGCTGGCAGGAGGGCTCACATCCCTGTGGCGCTACATTTTTATCGATCATGGCTCAGTTTTCCATTCAGATACAAGCATGCCTCTCACAGGAAACCCTTACACCAGACAGTTTTTCTTTTTTAATCGCACGTGCCTCCCCTTTTTTTTCTATGGGAGACACACTGTCATTGTTTCAAGAGTTTGTAATTACAGATCCTTTCAGAGTTCAATGAAGAGGAAGGTGATTGATGCTTTCCATCACATTCACAAGTGATATGTTCATGTTCCCATCTTAACACTAGTGCATTCTGCAGTTTGTCTGAGGCTGTCTCTGGGAGAATTGGCACTGCTATGAGTTTTACCAAATATTCCAGGCTAACTGCTCCCATTATTTATCCGCTTCAGAGGAGACAAATACTGCATCCCTCACAATATGCCAAAAAAAAAAAAATCATTGTCTGTGTAAAATTTGTTTCCCTCCATCATTTTTAAGCACCAACATCTTAGTCATGCAGGTGAAAATGCATATGATACAATTCTTCCATCATTCACTCCTCACTCCATCCTCACTGTTATCTCTAGTGTCATCCCTCAGATGGCCACTAACAACTCTCAGGGATTTAATTTTAAGCAGCCATTTAACCTGAGAATTCAGACTCCACTTTTTGTTTGGCTGCGATGTCAATCACAGAAGTGTTGTGTCACATCTGGATTCACAGGTGCAGTGGAAGTTGTCATTCTCATTTCCCCCCGTCTTATAACTTTATGTTTTCATATCAGTAGGAGCTGCACATGTGTATATGTGTGCACCACGTAACTGCAAAATAAGACCAAAGACATGCAAAATCAGCACGTCAGTCCTGTTCAGTCTCACAGCTTTGTAGCAGAATCAGCAGTACTTTTCTTCTATGTCCTGTTAAGGCTGTCTTCTGTCAGCTTGTACCGCTGCTGCTGCTGCTGCTGCTGCTGCTGCTGCCTCCTCCTCCTCCACTCAGTACAGCAACACTAAATAGACTCATAGTGAAAGAGCTGGTGGCAAAAAGACACAAGGTTAATAAAATATTTCCTGTGAGCTCAACATCCACCTGACACTACGAGCTGTCGCACTAAATATAAATAGGACTTAAGTTCCAGCTTTGCAGTTAATCACCTGTATTCAAGTCTTGTGATTTTGTTGTTCACATACAGTATATACATGAGCTTAGGAGGCGGCGATGCAGCTGGCAGTGGCAGTACTTGTTCTGCTCTGCAGCCTCAGCGAGCTGGGCGTAACGGATCATGTACCAGTTCTCCACCTGATCAATATCAAGCTGTGATTCTGGGCTCTGGGAAATTGTGATGGACATTTTTCTTTTTATTGTGACATTTTATAGATGAATCGAGAAAATGGTCGTCAGATGAATCGAAATTACTCATTACTAGTAATTCTCTACTTGTTTTTGTCAGAAATATACAGTATTTGGAAGAATATATTTTTCTCTTTGGAGGGAATAGTCCTTTAATTCACCTGTCTGAGCATGTACTCTGGATGCAAGCCTTTCCCTTCAAAGGATGAGACAGATTGCTGTTGCAGTTGGCTCACACTGTGATAATGTCCTCACTTACACTTCTAACCAGGATCTTTCCAGCCCATTACCCTCTCCTGCTCTTCTCACATAACCTCCTGCCGGCAGATGTCTTGTCACTGACATTGCAGCACTCAGAGAAGAATGACATGGACAGATCTCTGGCTGTTCTCTGCTTCTCAAGGCCAATGTGACCAATGAAAACAGAACTACTGTATGTCTACATATGTGCACTCAGACTCTTGAGACATTCGTGACAGTGAAGAATGTAAAGGTGCTTTGATAGACAAGCAGACACAAATTCCTACATTAATACCCTGTCTTCAGGGACTAGAAAAGATCAACTGTAACTGACAGCTGGAGGAATGAGTGAGGAGAGTTTGTTGCATATTGATGCCTTTTCATAATTCATGTGCTGTATAAGCACTTATGCATGGAGGTGTGTGTGTGACTGGAATAAGAATGGGTTTCTTTTTTTTTTTTCCTTTTTTTCCAGGCTGGCATGGGAAGCATATTTTAAACAGATGAGCAACAAAGCTTGTTTGTTTCTCAGTAAACTGATGAAGAGCCAAGATCAGGGGTTTCCTCCCAAAGGGTTTTTAATTTGGCTTTCAGCCATGTCTTTTTTTTTTTTTTTTTTGGTCTCCAACATCATTACATGAATCTGGTTGTCATAATACGCATATTCACTTCCTTACCGAGACCAAGATGAGAAAACCGATGTCACTTTCATATCTGTCGGTTGAATATGAAGCTACAGCTTGGGGACGATTAGCTTAGCTTAGCTTAAAGGCTGGAAGCAGTAGGAAAAAGTTAGCCTGGCGTATAGTTTTTATTCTTTTATGTACAGATTAAACAAATAAGATATAATGTGTGCAGAACCAAGCTAGACTTTTCCCCCTATTTCCAGTCTTTAAGCTAAGCTAACTGGCAGCTGGCGGTAGCTTCATATTTAATAGACATCGGGAGATTGGTATTTCTTATCGGACTCTGGTCAAGAAAACAAATTGACCAACATGCCAGTCTTCCTCCTCGACAGATTTCTTTTTTAAAAAATCTTTTAAATTAGAACCAAAATATAATTTTATTGTTATGTCAATTGAAGAATTGATCAGCACTTAGTCAAATACCTCTTACATTTTCTAATATTTCATAAAATGCCAAACATTTCCTTCTCAATTGTGGCTGTTTGCTGCTTCCCCTATTTTATATTATTATGTATTTTAAATTGGCTGTTGGTTGTACATTACAAGCATCGTGAAGATGTCACTACAGGCTGCGGGAGATCAGGAAATTGTCATAGGCTTTTGTCGTGTTACAGCTTCACTAGAGATTTGTGCTCTTTCCTAATAAGGAGTGAGTACTCTTCAGGTTTTATATTCCTCCATTCATTAATCTGGTGTATCACATCCTGCTGTACAGTACTCGCCACATTCAAACCAGGGTATTAAATGCATTTTTTGATGCAACATAAGTTTACAATATACAAAAAATGTTGGTACTGTCACAATGTCACATGTTGGTTTTTCTTTCCAGTAACTTTTCCAGTCTGCATGTTTTTCTTTCTTTTGCCCTCATACCTTCTTTCATCTTCTCTCTCGTCCCTCCTGTCTTGTCTTATTTTCCCTGCTCTCTTCTCCCAGGCGTTGCTTATTTCTTCTCACCTCCCCATATTCATGCTGGCTCATTGGGATGCCAGCTTCTCATCTGCATGCTTTTGAACTGTTGCTATGTACCCTCCATCCACAGTCACACACCCCCCCATCTTTCCCACAAGACCTTCAAACAGAATGTATAGGAATATATTAATAATTAATAATCATCTGAAATTTAGATTCACACATTACATATAATCTTACATGTTCATGTAAGTCATTATAGCTGGAAAAAAAGGAAGAATCAAAAAGGAGGCAAAATGTCCCATAAACTTGCATTTTCTTACGTTTTTAAGTCTCTTATTCATTCATTTACAGCCAAACACACACCTCTCTTTCTCACACGCAGAGAAAGGTCCCTGTAAGATTTCTTTCAAGTCTCCTGTTGTGATTCTGCGTAAAGCACCAGAGGCTGAAGAAAAGCTATGTAGGAAATTTTTACATAATTTAAATAGTAGAAGTCATGGCAGGTTTGGTCAAGCAAATATTTATATATCACATAATGTTTGAAAAGTCCGCCACAGCGTTTATAGACAGTTCAGACCTGCTGTTGCACACGTGATGTAGATGTCCTTGTTGCAGTTGGACGACCGTTAATACATGGTGTTAATTGTGTTTTAGTTATGACCAGTGATGGTTGACTCTGAAAGAACAAATAAACTGAAAAGAAAATAATCTTTAACGCTGCATTAATTGTTTTTTTTTTGGGGGGGTGGGGGCACTCATTTACCTAATCCTGAAGCAGGAGGGAATGCTGAAGAATTAGCATTAACTTTTGATCATTTGGAGTTGTATTTCTGTTCACTGGATGAATGTAAGTTCAGTGACTCTCCCTTTAGCTCTGTTTTGGTCTCCACCAACTACTGAGGGAAATATGTGGCTCTTTAGATGCTAAATGCTTCACTGTGTTCACCAGCTAGTTGTTCATTTTGTCTGGTGGTTGTTATTGATGAAGTAGCGTACATTAGGATTATCAGGGCGTTTGAGCTGAAAACAGCTGTTTGCTGTTAAAATATTTGTTAGTGCAGCTTTACAGCCCAGCTGTGATTTCTGTTTCTTGAATTTGTACTTTTAAGCAAATGTATTTCCCAAAATTAGCCAGAAGCAACCAGAGATACTGATGCTGCATGTGAATATGTCTGCTGGTGCAACAATAATGATAATCATTTCCTCTGTCTCTCTTATTTTTGCCCCCCAGGCCAAGTCATGCATCTGCCACATGTGTGGTGCCCACCTGAACAGACTCCACTCCTGCCTCTACTGCGTCTTCTTCGCCTGCTTTGCCAAAAAACACATCCACGAGCATGCCAAGAGCAAAAGGCATAACCTAGGTACGACACACAAGCACACGTTGACAAACCGTGTCCGCACGTGCAATCGGAGCAGGTGTGTTCTGAGGGTTCTGCATCCACACCAGCAGTTAAGCCCCCTTTGCTTAAATGAGTTGGTACTTGCCTCCTAAACAGACACACTGACAGTATATACAGTACATCATGTACGCAAACGCACAACCCCACACACTGCCGTCAGTAATGCCTCTTCTCTCAAAACAAAGGCTGCTAAAAGGGCTAATTATACAGCTGAGTGGCTAATGAAGATGTAGCCTGGTGCAACTGTATAAAGTAGTGACGGTTCATAAACAACCACTGTGTGTGGGTGTGTGTGTGTGTGTGTGTGTGTGTTTGTCTTTGTCTCTATATTTAAGATCAGTTCAAAGTGATTGATGCTGTATATTGGACACATTTGAGGTTTTGTGAGACATTTAATCAAGTAAAACAATCGCGAGTGAGGGAGAGAGCCGTTACACAACCTAGTGCAAAATAATTGCAACACAGTCTGAAAGGCCTCAAGGAGGATTTGAATGTCACCTGTGTATTTGGCCTCATGTAGCCCATTAGAGGGAATATATGCATTATTGAACTTACTAATGAATAAGGGATTTTGGTCTTGATAGCTGATTAAAATTAAGCACATTCACACATGCTAAGAGTCTACTTTATTGGGTACACTTCTCTGGTTTACAATCAGCTTCCTCCAAAATCCTCCAAAACATTCAGTGGTGTTTGTGTGTTTGTGTGTGTGTGAGATTTGTCTCTGCCTTCTCTTTTTTCTTTTGACTGGATTGCTATTCCAGGTCAGAGAAGGTAATGGAAAACATGGCACAACAGTGATTTCAGTGATAATCTGCATTGGAGTTAAAATGTTCTTCCATAGAAATGACTTCTGTTTTCAGAAATGCAGCAACCACACTGTGTTTCTCACCGCAGCTCACACGGAGGTCGCTTTGTTGGCCAAGGTTGTGGGAAAGTTGTATTTCAATTCTCTGAATTATCAAAGATGCACAAAGTGGATGGCTTCAGACTTGAACAAAGATGTGGGTGTTTTGCTGAACACCAAGAACAGTTGGCTTGTTTTCCCCCATCCCTGCTACTCCCACAGCGACACACGGCCTGCGATAATCAAAACATTGCTGAGTTACTGCAGAAAGAAATGCTGAATATTACCTGAACTCACTCTGTAAAAAGCATCTGCTGAAAAGTGTACCGTGCTCTGTGTGAAGGATGGGCGATATTGATACGCAGATTGTTGACAAATTAAAGGAACAACCAACGTGACGTGTTGCTCTGCGACGAGCCTCGAAGACATTTTCTACAGTCTTTGCCGTATTTAAAATCAGGTCAGAGTTAGCTGTGTATTTGACTTTTTCACAAGCCTGACGGTGACACATTAGAGGTTCTGTGATGCAGTAAATCACATCATCAGGCATCATCATGTCAGTCTAGTTAGCTCAGTATCTTTCTTTTCTATTCTCCACATACAGTAATAGAATTAGGCCGTGTGAACCGTGAAGTGAAGTACATTACACTGCAGTGTTCGGAGGAGAGCGGTGCTGCAGCAGAGACACTCCGGGGGGATCCATGACAAAGGCTGGGTTTGGCAGATGTAGAGAATCTGCTTTTTTGTTTTTATGAAGCCTCCTTTACTCTGCTCAGGAAGGCCCCCTCTGCTGTGTGTGTGTGTGTGTGTGTGTGTGTGTGTGTGTGTGTGTGTGTGAGAGAGAGAGAGAGAGAGAGGACTCGCAACTTCAAAGGGCTGTTTGAGGGTTAAGACTTGGTTTTCAGGTTCATGTTAGAGTTAGGTTGAGGTTAGGGTGAGTGTTTCCCGTACACTGATTTATTTGTGGCAGCCCGCCATAATGTCAACATTAACCACCACATTTTTTTTTTTACTATTTCAAATCAGTAAGATCTTACGTCAGCGTAGAGCTGCTCTCTCTCCCTCTCTCTCACAAACACATTGACATCCAACACATCCGTCATAGTCGAACTGGCCATCAGGAGCACTTGCTTACAGTACTTGACTCTTAAAATATTTGCAGTGGAGCAGAATATATACAGTATTACTTCATAATTAATTTAAGAAAATTCACCCACCCCACCCCCCTTGAGCTCCCACCACAAATAAAATCTAATTCTGTGGGAAACACTGCAGCTGTGATGGGCTAGGGAACGCATTATGCCAATGATGAGTCCCCACAAATGTAAAACAAGGGTTTATGTGTGAGTATGAGTGTGTGAGTATGAGTGTGTGTGTGTGTGTGTGTGTTTAATTAGGTTACTTCTGAATTAAATGTTGTAAAAACACAGTGAGAAATGGTCTAATACAGAGGGAGAGAAAAGATCAAATGAAAAAGGGACAGATCTCAGCAGACTGGTGAGGAGGTAATTAAGTCGTCTTTAACAAACCCTGTGGAATTAGCCTCCATTACACTCAGGCCCATCCTCCTCTTCCTCCTCCTCCACCCTCCTGCTTCTCCTCAGTTTATTTCCTTGCCGTTCCGTCCTCTAACCACTTTATGCAGCCTCACTCACTTTCCGTTTGCAGCCTTATCTCTCTGTCCATTTTCTCTTCTCTTTTACCGTCCTCTTGTTCCCATGGTTACAATTCCATACTCAGAATTGCACCAAGATTTCATCTAATTGCACTTGTACCATCAGCTTTGTCTTTTTATGTTAATCTCCGGTCAATCCAGTGAAATTCACTACTTTGGTTCTTTACCTCCTTGCCTTCCTCCATCCTCTCATCCCTCTGCTCCATACCTGCAAAGGATGACAGCCGGAAGAAGCCGACAAGCAGGTTGTCATGGTAACAGCAAACAGGTAGCTGCAGGACAGAGAGCAGGTGAAGAGAGAGAGAGAGGGAGTGGAGGGACAGTTTTGGTCTGTGTGTGTGAACATTTAAGTGAGTGTGTGACAGTGAGAGATTGCACAGTTAAATATGTGGCTCCCTCCATCCTCTCCTCCTACTCCATCCCTCCTCCATCCCTCCTCCTCCTCACCTTCTCTCAATGCTCTCTCCCTCTCTCAGGATGTCTCTCCGTCGTTCCTGGATGGTGTTAACAGATAACTGATGTGTCAGCAGATAAGCCCCTGCTACCTTGCAGCACCATGGCAACGTGGCCTGAATAGACGTAGACTGACAGAGGAAGCAGTTAGCGGTTCACACGGCTTGTAGCAACGCACAGCCTTCGAATGCCGTGACAGTCGGATAAACTGAGTTGAATAAAACGGCTCATTATGTTTTGCTTCCTTCCCCATTCTGTCTCTGTCCTTTCCAGCTATTGACCTGCTGTACGGGGGAATTTACTGCTTTATGTGCCAAGACTACATTTATGACAAAGACATGGAACAGATTGCCAAAGAGGAACAAAGGAAAGCCTGGAAAATGCAAGGTATGTCAGCAGCAAACACGTGCTTACAAGTCACTTTTCTTTGCAAGTCCAAGTCAAGTCTCAAGTCTCTAATGTTTGTAATGAGCCGGGAACACTGCACTGCCATATCTAAGGGATTTAAGGCATGTACTTCATTATCATCACTCCTTTATCTGTAAAGTTACATAATAAGGGAGGGGATGACATTCAGCTCATCAGACATTTCCTTCATGTTGATGTGCCAAAAACATTTAAAAAAAAAAAAATAGAAAATGTTCTCAGTAGAGCGCAGAGCTCCGCCAAGGCCAATGTCAAACGACTTACACTACAGGAGTGGGAATAAAAATTGGCCCTGGACTTTTGACTTGGACTGGCCCACCAAACCCATCTGGAGCCACCTTCACATGGGCTGCAGCCTGTGTCACACTTTCCAAGAATCATGTAGTAAACGGAGGATAAATTCATTACGATGATTTATAGAACAATACATGCACATTAAACTGTATTTCATTATTTCACTTTCCCCTGTATAAGTGAGCAGCTATAGAGACTCAGACTGGACGGTGCAGCAGTAAACACCAGACATATTTTAATTTTAGGAGTATTTCTTCCTTCATTGCATCTTTCTACAGTTAAATTCTGTATGTTGTGTGTTATCCTGCTAAATAGGATAAAAATAATATAATCCAAATCACAATATCCAAATCGCAGGAGCGGCATTTTATTTTTTTATGATAGAGGTAAAATATGTCACAAGACGCCCCCGGCCTACAAATCATATTCTCCAGATGTGAGGGAACCGATCATCTACGAGTGAGATCGGCCGATCCAGATCCAAAACATCTGGAATGCAGCACAGACAAGCCAGAAGACGGAGTGAGGTTTAATAGATTTAATAGATTTATTATATATAGATTTAATAGATGGATTCATTGAGACTGAGACGCAGGTACCAGGTACCAGGCCTGAAGAAACCACGAACTGAAAGTTCAGGCATAAAGATCGATTTGAAGTTTGAATTTAAACGTTTCAACAGAGTCAGACGGAGTCTCATGTCAGCAGGGAGGTTGTTCCAGAGGAAGAGAGGATGATGGGAGAAGGCCCTGCAGCCTGCTGACTTCTTATTAACTCTGAGAACAGACAGGAACCCGGTATCCTGAGAGCGAAGAGCATGGGGTGAAATATAAGGTTTAAGGAGATCAGACGGGGTTTGAAGGGGAAGCACCTTTAAAATCTGATCTGACACAGATACGGAGTTAACGAAGGTAAAGCTAAAACTGGTGCAATGTGGTCACTTTTCTGGGATTTAGTTCAGCATTCTGAACCATCTGAATATTCTCAGTACTAACACGAGGCAGGCCTGAAAAACAAAATGTTACAAGACCCCAGTCTGCATGAGACACAGAGGCATGAATTAGGGCTCTCAGCATCTGCCACAGACAGAAAAGGCTGAATTTGAGCTTTTTGTTGAGTCGGTGGAAGAAAGGTCTTGGTGATGTCTTTAACAGACTGATCATAAAGAGACGAGAGGATCAAACAAGACCAAGGTTCTTTGCCTGGATGGACATTTCTACATATTAACTAATGAGTGGACTCCAAAACCGCACTACCCACAAATCTGTCAGGCTCTCTAATCACCTGCCACCTGTCAAAGTCACAAAGTGGGGACCACTTGCTTATATCTTGCAATGTGCTGTTTTTATTCAATTTAGGGTCTTTTTTACTTTTTATTTTCTATTTTATTTTACTTTCTATATCTCTATATCCTGCTTGTCTTTCTGTATCACTTAGTGTCGATACAACGCTTTCAGCAGCTTTGCTGTTGAAAGGTCATAAACAAATAAACTTGCCTTTCCAAGAGGAAGAAAAGTGCACGATGCAAACCTGTGTGTGTGTGTGTGTGTGTGTGTGTGTGTGTGTGTGTGTGTGTGTGGTGTTGTTGTGTGTGTGCGTGTGTGTTCCAGGCATAGGGGAGAAGTACTCAACGTGGGAGCCCACCAAGAGGGAGCTGGAGCTGCTCCGCCACAACCCCAAAAGGAGGAGAATCACCTCTAACTGCACTATTGGTTAGTGTCTCTCTTTTTCTCTCACTTTCTGCATCTCCCATGCGCACGCACACACATGCACACACACACACACACACAAAGCTAACTGCAATCTAGCTTCAAATTGCTGGTTGTCAATCCGGGAAGGTCGCTGAGTTTCAGAGAGCATGAAGGAGCGAGGAAACAGCTTTAATGCAGAAAGATGAAGCAACAAGCAGCAAATATGAATTTTAAAAAAAATGTGTAATATCCTTTTGGTTCTAAAGAGATGTTTATAGAGATGTTTCCAAAGGTTACAAGTGTGAATAATTTCCTTTTCTATCGGTGGCTAGCTTCATTAATAAGAACGTAGGAAAGAACGTATAGAAGCATTTTTGCTTCGGCCTTAGCTGCATTAGCTACAGAGCTAATATACACTAATATATATAGACATATACACCGGTGTTGTACTGGACTGCATTATATTGAAAGGTGTTTCTAATATTTTGTCTGATTCATTTACATGCATGAGGGAGGAAAGAATTAGAAACATCTTCCAAATGAGCTTGTTACAGTCCTAGGTGACAGGCGGATGCTACATGGATAGATTCTGTATAGGAGGTGTTATTTATAGTCCTCAGAGACAGACAACAGGATGTATTAGTGTCAGCAGGGAATATTAGTGTGTGGGAGAGAGGAAAGTTGACATACGTTTAACACCCTGCAGCCGCCTGCAGCGATCTGCTCTAGCACCATTAACATCCGCAGCACTGTCTTAGGTGAGGGAAAGTACAGGCCTGGCTGCTCATGTGTGGGAAACACTAACCTCCATCCTTCCTTCCTTCCTTCCCTCCTTCCTTCCCTCCTTCCTTCCTTCCTTCCTTCCTCTCTCTCTCTCCCTGCTCTTCTGTTTTTCTATTTTTTCCACCTTCTCTCCTGCTTTCTCCTCCCTCTCTCCCTTCCTCAGTGTCTGTGTGTGGTTTGGTCTGCCGTAATCTGACAAGGGTTTCCCTGCGTGAAGCCCGACATCGCCTCAGGGACATGGTGGTATTATAGTGTGTGTGTGTGTGTGTGTGTGTGTGTGTCGTTAACAGCATTGCAGCTAAGTTGGCCCACTGCAGCAGCCAAGAAAAACGATCTGGCTCTCTTCTTTCTCTCTGTCCTCCCTTTTTCTTTATTCCTCCCCTCTCTCCTCCGCCCATTCTTTCTCTTTGTCTGCTCTTTGTTTCCTGCTTATTAATTCTTTTTTTTCTCTCCCTCTCTCTCTCTCTCTCTCTGCTCCACTCTCAGGCCTGCGTGGTCTGATAAACCTGGGCAACACGTGCTTCATGAACTGCATCGTCCAGGCACTGACGCACACTCCACTGTTGCGTGACTTCTTCCTGTCCGACCGACACAAATGCGAGATGCAGAGTAACTCCTGCTTGGTGTGCGAGATGTCGCAGCTCTTCCAGGAGGTACCTACGCATTCTTTAGCTTTTATTTTTTATTGTTTTTAGTGGCCAGAGGCGTTATGTGTGTGGGTTATCTGTCCATATGTCCGTATATCTGTCTGTCCCATTCTTGTGAATGTGATATCTCAGTAACGCCTTGAGGGAATTTCTTCACTTGCACTCGAGGGTGAACCGAGTAGAATCTGTTGGTCGGAGGTCAAGGTCACTGTGACCTCACAAAACATGTCTTTGGCCATAATTCAAGAATTCACACGCTAAATAACAACTGCATCTGAGCTGGTTGGCGGAAGCGTACGACCTCGAGTCTGTAATTCCAGTTTGTTGGATCAAGATAAATAAAAGACATTAGAGACACGGAAGGGAAAGTTTTCTCTCACAAACGCACGTTTCCTCTTTAGTTCTACTCAGGTCATCGCTCGCCTCACATCCCGTTCCGCCTCCTGCACCTGGTGTGGACTCACGCCCGTCACCTGGCCGGTTACGAGCAGCAAGATGCCCACGAGTTCCTCATCGCGGCGCTGGATGTTCTACACAGGCACTGCAAAGGTCAAACGCACATTTACACAGAGACACACACACAGACAGTTATGATATTCATGGTATAAAGAGGAATGACAGAGAGGATGGTTTTACCTCAGAGGAGAGGTAGTTGGAGTGAGGGATGAAGGGATGAAGTGAGAGATGCACTGACTGGCAGAGAGATGGAGAGGAACAGCCTGACTCAGATCAGCCTCTGTCTGCAGGTTATAAGCAGAGAGGGTGGCAGTGATGTTACACAGCATTGCTTTTAGTGACTGTGTGTGTGTGTGTGTGTGTGTGTGTGTGTGTGTGTGTGTGTGTATTTATGTCTACACAGATGACAATGGGAAGAAAGCCAACAACCCAAACCACTGTAACTGCATCATCGATCAAATCTTCACAGGGGGCCTGCAGTCTGACGTCACCTGTCAAGTCTGCCAGTAAGTGTGTGTGTGTGTGTATTTGTGTGTATTCTGTCCAAGGAAAAAAACAACACAAAGAATAATTTAATCCTCACTAGTGACTGTATGAAGAATTTAAAGTCTTTAAAGCAGAACCACGCCTCGTAGACTGTGACACACTTCACTCTCTAACTCTCTCATCCACTGGTCTGAGGTGACCGTCCTGCCTCTCCTCCCTCCTCCATCATTCACACATTGCACCATCAATCACACACACACACACACACACACACACACTGAACTGCTTCACTGCTTCACTGCAGCAACAGGAAAACCCTTTCATGGCACACAGGCTTTAAAGTTAATCTCTAGTTCCACCTGGTGGCCAGAGAGGCTGTTGGAGTTTCATGCCTTGAGATACATATTTCATGTGAGACTTTGGTGCCAGATTTACTAAGAAAATACAGCATTTATCTGCTGATTTAACAGAAACATGACACAAATAACCAGAAGACAAAACGATAAACTCAGATCAAACTTAAACTAAACAAACCAAATAATGAACACAAACACGATCAATCAGGCTTGACGAACTGAATAAGATATTAAAGAATAACTAAATAAGAAAACAAAACAAAGGCAAAATAAATCGGATTCTGCATTACATAATATATTTTCAAAAATTATTTAATTTCAAAAAAATCTAAAATAAATTTCCTCGGCACAATCACAACCAGCCTTCTGCTTAAATGCTTTTTAACACCATCATTTGTTTGTGCAATATATCCTTCCAAAATAAAGCGACATTTAATAGACATTCTAAATCAATTGATAACCTATCAAAAACATATTGATCAATATCCTCTGTAAGGACCAACAGGTGTTTGTTTTTATGGAGCTTCAATAAAATGTCTTTGAGATTAAATCTATCTTTTAGTTGAGAGATTTACAGGTTTGCAATAATGACCATTCCCACTGAAATTGTGACTCATATCACAATTGCAATAACTCAAAATAAATCAGTTTGAGCCCGGCCTCTCGCTCTGTGAGCTGGGACAGGCTCCGCCCCCCTGCAGCCCTGCATGAGATAAGCAGTTTGAAGAGCTGATGGTTTAGAGGCGAGCTCTGTGGAAAAGATGATCTCCACCCAAATTTTCTCGAGCCACGAATGCTATCAGCTGAGAAAATTGCGCCAACCTGCAGTGAGCACCACTGAATGGTGTTCAACAGCAGAATAATCTTCACAGCCCAGATGAACAAGCTTAGCTGCCAACATTCGCAGCACAGTCACAATAAATGAGATTTACAAAGTGCAGTGTCTGTGTCTGTCCTGTGAAGTGGGCAACAGACTGGAAGATGTACAAATCAACACAAAGAAAAAGCTTCTGCTCATCATGTGTCTCTCTGTCCCGCTGCTAGTGGCGTTTCCACAACCATAGACCCGTTCTGGGACATCAGCCTGGACCTGCCGGGGTCCTCCACACCGTTCTGGCCCCTCAGCCCCGGAGGAGACGGATCAGCACTTAACGGAGAGAGTCACACCACTGGAGCCACGACACTCACAGACTGTCTGCGCAGGTAAGTGACGCAGCAAACAAATGTTGTCAGGAATATTGGCATCCAGCCTGTAGTTATATACGGGGGGGGGGGTTTCACTTTCAGCCTGGGAGGTAAACAACACAGAGGAACGGTCGACTCAGCTGGGAGAAGGTTGCCGGGGTGGAAGTAGACTAATCAACTAAAACCTTCCTGCTGTCTGTCTGCAGTCAGCTGCTCTGTGGCTGCAGAGAAGAAAGTTAAAAGTACAAACAGAAATGAAATGAGAGTTTGTAAACGTGACAGTAGATTCAGTGTTTTTCCTTCCTCTTTTATTAAAATATTACACTATATTATACTGCTCACTGTGATGTTCTAGTATTTCCCTCTTGTGTGTATCAAATCTACTTTTCCCTTCCATGCAGCCCCAAAATGGAAGTAACCATGACAGCACTTTTTATTTTTATTTTTATTTTTATTTTTATTTTTCAAAACCGACATAAACGCACGTAAGCAGCGACAAGCTGAGAGACAAAACCAATCCGAGAATCATCACACTGAACCCCTCAGAGAGCAGCGAGTCACACACACACACACACACACACACACACACACACACACACACACACACACAACACACACACACACACACACACACAGTTCCCTGAAACTAATTCCAGTTCTCCCCAAGTTCACTGGAGCAGAGACCTCAGGTGGCAGCAGCGTCACACACACACACACACACACACACACACACACACGCATAGACACAAACACGTGCAGTAAATCTCATCCTCTCCTGTCTAGGTTCACCAGACCTGAGCACCTTGGCAGCAGCGCTAAGATCAAGTGCAGCGGTTGCCATAGCTACCAGGAGTCCACCAAGCAGCTGACCATGAAGAAGCTGCCCATTGTGGCCTGCTTTCACCTCAAAGTAAGAGTGTGTGTGTGTGATGGTTTGACTGCTAATTTAGTGGATGTTAGTTATGAGAGTAGCGCTCTGACACTCGTGTGTGTGTGTGTGTGTGTGTGTGTGTGTGTGTGTGTGTGTGTGTTTTCAGAGGTTTGAGCATTCAGCCAAACTGCGACGGAAGATCACAACTTATGTCTCCTTCCCGCTGGAGCTGGACATGACGCCCTTCATGGCCTCCAGGTGAGCACATTCCACATGAAGATCGGAAGCAACTAAAAACAGGAACAGAACAAGAAAATAAGAAGTAAGTTTCACATAAACTAAAAAAACTTGGATGAATGGAAGAGAGGCCTGTGTCCTGGCCAATCCGTAGCCTCAGTGTTCAGACATACACTCTGACACACCAATGACAACAAAGGAAAGGGTTTATGAGGATTCCAGGTAGTAAAAAACTATTTGCAACAGGCTTTTTTTTTTTTTTAAACTCCACACCCTGTGACTCTCTTGTGTCGTGTCTGCGTTTGTTCTGTTGTGTGATGCAGTAAAGAGAGCAGGATGAACGGGCAGTACCAGCAGACAGTGGACCCCTTCAACAATGACAACAAGTAAGGCAAACATCTCAGGCTACGTCCACGCTGATACGTTTTCATTTTAAAACGAAAACGATCTCCGTCCAGACGGCCGTCTTAGCACCGTCCATACTACCTGAGCAGTCACGTACACTGGGCGTGTGCGAGCCGGCGTAAACAGGAAGCACATTGTCTACTCAGCAGTTGGTTAGTTGCACAAAATACTACGAACGAGGAACGGCAGAGACAGCCGCAGCGTTAAGATGCAGAATTTAACTGAACAACAGCTGCTAGCAAAGACAACAAGGTCAGTGACGCTTGTATTTCGTTATCCGTGTTGTATTCACCGCTGGCAGGCGAATCTGATGAGCGCGGGTGCGACTACAGGTGTCTACCTCATTGCTTCCAAAGGTATCTGTTTTTCACCCGACCAGACGACAACGCAACCCTGGAGTTTTCAAACTAAAACGAGGGCAGCGGCGTTTCCGGTGCTCGAAGACTCCGCAGTGGACGGGAGGCGAAGACGTAGCGAAAGAGATGTTGGAGTTTTAAAACTAAAACGTAGCAGTGCTGACGTAGCCTCTCCTTTCATTTCCCCTACTGCTTCCTTCTCCCATTGATCCCACTAATGCGTTCAGTGCACCGCTCTCTCACCAAACTTCTCTTCCATGGAATTTATTCTAATGAAATGTGGTTCATGACTTTGTAAACTAACATCTAACCCGTTTTTTTCCAGGTGTGTCAGATGTTTGTAGTTGCAGTATAATTTCCGTATGGATTGAGCCTTGCAGAAGCAGTAAGTGTCTTCTTCTCCCCGTCTGTTCCAGGTACAGTCTGTTTGCTGTGGTGAACCACCAGGGGACACTAGAGAGCGGCCACTACACCACCTTCATCCGGCAGCACAAGGACCAGTGGTTCAAATGTGACGACGCCATCATCACCAAGGCCAGCATCAAGGATGTTCTGGATAGTGAAGGGTGAGCAGGTCGCAGCGTTGAGGGTGTCACCTCATCGCTCTGAAATAAGAAAATAAAAAAGCGACCGCTCCTTTATTAGTGGCGCTGTGATCTGACCCTGCGGTGCTTTTATCTCCTCAGGTACCTTTTGTTTTACCACAAACAGTTCCTGGAGTATGAATAGTCTCCTCCGTCAGCACAGCCTGCAGGAGGAGATGATGGAGTGGTTGCATGGGAACAGGTAACGGGAGTGATGATCAGAGGGGCGAGGAAACAGAGACACAAACCTACCTGAGTCGCTCTGAGAGTTGCAGCTCTCACTCTAACATGGAACCACCCTTACTACATACTAACCTAGTTCCTCTTGTAATGAACTGTCTGCTGTGCAGGATAGAGACAAGAATGCAAGAACCAAACAAAATGCAAGGAATCTGGAAGGGAGATTTGTTTGGGCGCTGAAGGAATATTGCATACTTGCAAAAGTTTTTCACTGGAATTCAGGGGTTAAAGAAGAAAAGAGCTGTGATAACCTGCTATAAGATCAGTCAGTGCTCGCTTTCACATAATACAGGAATAGACAGAAGGGCAGAAGGGGTTTTTATTTAAAACCTTGGTTTATCTCGGGAAGGTGTACATGATCACAAATGCTGTTCTCCACCAACGTCCTGCTTCATGCTCGCACAGCTGCAATATGTTAGCACCCAAAGGTGCAAAGAAACAGAGCAGCAACCTTCCACAGGGGTTCAGGGCTCTGCTTTAGCAAAGGAATTTTATTGTTTTGTTTTTGTTTTTGTTTTTGTTTTTGTTTTTGTTTTTTTTAAATTTCACTTTACCCAAAAGGATTGAAACTTCCTGGACACAAGCACACTCGTCTCTCTTCCAAGCGACCAAATACTTCAAGGGTGGAGGTTGTTTTATTATGCATTTTTGTTCCAAATGCAAAGAGTGGGGAAAAAGAAAATCACCAGTTCAATGATATTAATAATATTGTACAGAGAGACAGTTTATTCAGTTCATTACTCGTCAGTTTGTCGCCGTCTGTTGTCAGATGCTTCTAGGAAACATTTTCTTCAACAAGGACGAGTACGAGGAGGATCTGTTATTTTCGGCCTTGCTGCTTCCAACAGTCACACGGGGGGGAAATAGATTACACAGTGAATATTATATTTTTATACATAACTTTTGTTTACGGTTTCACATTCTCCCTAAACTCTCACATTGTTTGTCTGTGTTATATTGCGCCATCAATCATGTTTTTGTACACAAAAGCGAAGTAGTGCTGAGAATTTTCATGAAACTGCTGCTAAGGCGATTTTTTTGTTTGTTTGTTTGTTTGTTTGTTTAATTTGGCTTTTTTGTTTGTTTGTTTTTGTTCGTTTTTTTTTATGTTACTGAGACGAATTCTCCATTTTCAGGACACGCTGTCGTGATGCTGTTTCAGGTAAATGGCAAAAGAGAAACGAAACAAAAGAGGAGGGTGTTATTCCCAGTACTGAGTCTGTATAAAGAGTCAGAAGCTCAATCCTGCAGTGTTAACCGTCGGCCGCATGTTGCTCTAATTTGGTGTGTTTGTGTGTATACGTGTGTGTGTGTGTGTGTGCGTGTGTGTGTGTGTGCGTGTATGTGCCCGAGAATCGGGAGGGGAAAAAAAAGCTCAGTGTATGTGTGTTTGTTTTTAAAATGTGTTATTGCGTGTAAAGAGAGGAGAAAAAAAAAAAGAAGCGTGTATGTGTTCCTGTTTGTATGCACGTGTGTCGTGCGCGTGCGTATGTACCGTATGTTCGTGTACTGAATCAGTACTTGCATTCAGCATGCCGTCTGAGCTGGGTATCACAGTTTGATAGGATTTTTTTTTTTTTCCACATGTCGATGATGTATGTTAAAGTATATATGTACAGTTTGTATGTAAGAGACAAATGGTGAAACCTCAAAGTTGATTTGTTCTTCGATATTGCTGGATCCAGCCACGGGGTCGCAATCATAAGAAACGTGTCTTGACCCCATCAGTCATTCCTCGCACACACATGTAACTGCTGCAAGAACTGGACACAGTGATGGAAAGACACAAATAAAGAAAAATCTATATCTGTAAACTCCTTTGTGTTGCTTGTTTATTCATAATTGATAATATAGTATGAAATATTTGTTTATATTCACATTACACATGTAGGCACAATATTCATACATATACATATTACTGCAGACAGTATCCATTTATATCTTTGGTGCTTATAACAATAAGACTACTCTCTAAAAGGATTTATGAATGGTTTATAACTAGTTTATTAAGTAGCTTAACACTTAATGAATCGTTTATAAGCTGTTATAACACATGGGACCTGTTGCTTGCCACATACTGAGCCCACATGTATCTGTACTGTTGAGCCTCATATCTCATTAGTTACTGAGCTTTCTTTGTTCTCTCCATCATCCAGTGTTTGTACCTGTCAATTATTTATGACTGGTTAAAAAAGGAACCTTATTGTAACGTAACATTTATTAATGAGTTACTATAAGGTTCCTTTTACTAGTTATGAATAATAGTAACTCATTAATAAATGATGAAGTTTCACACTTTACAAAAAGATTCCCTTTTACCAGTTATAAATGGTAGTAGTTCATTAGTAAGATTAATGAGTAGTAAGCATTAACTTGCCAAATAGTGAGCCTGCAGCAATGTATGAAAACTGTTATAACTTGTTTCTAATGGTTTATTTATGATTTATAAAGTGTTAAATGAATAACCTAATTATAAACCATTTATAAAAGATTTATAAGGGTACTCTTATTGTGAAACGGTACCAACTTAAAAGGGAATCAGTAGAACTTGAATATTTTCGGACTTTGGCGACACCCAGTGGTGGTATCAAAAAACACACGACTGATTATCACATGTAGCAGGCAGGAGAGCTCTCCTTCCACCATGAGCGATACTGTCTTGACTTCCAACGTCATTCGCCTTCACTGTCGTCTCCTTACATTCACTCTATCGTTGCTTCCCAACTCTTAGTATTACTCAGTTTGTTTTAATTGAAATGTTTGTGGTGAGTTTCTCCTGTTTTGGTGGAAAATGAGTGGGACTCTCGCTTGTGTGGGTGACAGTAACCCGTTCAATCCGAGGCGAGAGCTGTGTCACTGCCTGCTCAGCCTATAGCGAAGCAGTGACTTCATCCAGCTCCTTTATCTTCATAAATCTCCCACAGTGAAATGATTTGTGGGCTCAAGCACAAAGCTTTACCGTGTGAGCGGCAACCTTTTATCAGATAACTGTTACAGACATTATATCATGTTCTCAGTTTGCATATAACTGGATAGTTTTATTACATTCACAGTGTCATGAAAAGAGTTGGCTAGTACGGAAGAGGATTAGGGTCAAATGTTTAACCTCAAAAATCTGATATACATTTTTCTGTTTTCTTCACATGTGACCCTGATCCTCTTCCGTAGGTTATAATATGTTTTGATGTTTCCATTTGTTTCCGTGATGTTTTGAGGGACCAGACCTAGTACCACTGTGCATGCGTGTCAGTGACGGAGCTAGTTGTTGGTTGTAAGTCTGTGTGATTTGCTCCAGTGAACTTTCTAACAGGAGACATGAGAAAAAAAAAACAGTGCTATGCAATCCGCTTGGTGCGTCGGGAGCTTCGACGGGGGCTGTATTTGTGTTTCACTTGTTTCAGTGATGCGATGCTTTTAGTGTGCGGTAGTAAAACTTTCCTACCGCACAAACTTCCATATTTCATGAGCTTGTCCTCATTAGGAGTAAAACATGGTCGACTTTTTCATGATTAATATGAATCAATCACACAGCGGCTTTTTACATTTTTTAAAATGGAAAAGCTTCTACTTGTTTGCTTTTTGTGTTTTCTTCTAGTATTAATTGTTGCTGATGCATTCCCTCTGTTTGCACCGTGTTTTCACCATTTCACAATCAATTCCTGCTAAAATCCAGTTTTCTGATCAACTTCTGTGTGTGTGTGTGTGTGTGTGTGTGTGTGTGTGTGTGTGTGTGTGTGTTTGTGTGTGTGTGTGTGTGTGTATGTGTTGGGGATATCTTTATCCATTCCAGTTTTCCTGTGAGACACTTTGATTTGAGAGGGAGCAAATGGACCTCATCTCACTGCTGCCTCCTCCTGGTCCAGAGGTGTGAAGGCTCTTCTCAGCCCAGAGGGGCCCTCCGTTCTGGGTCTGGCCTCTCGGGAGGACGGGTGCTCTCAGCAGCCTGTCGTTACCCTGGGCTAGCGGTTTCAGATCAGGGAAACAGTGGACGCACACGCAAGTCTCTGTCGGGCTGGAGTCGTTTGATCTCGAATGTGTTACATAATCTGTAGATAGAGAGGTAAGTGAGCGCACTGGAGCAAAAGACGTGAAACAGACGACAAGACATTAGAGATGCAAGAGTTTTGAAATACAGTGACGATGATAATTAATTCTCTCAGTTGCAGAACATTAAAAAAAAAGCACCTGGAAAGATTATTCTGAAGGGAAACTGCTGTACAGTTCTACTACTAGTCTTATTCCAACTTGATTGCACTGATTGTTATTCATACCACACTAACCTTTGGAGGTCTGCCTCAGCTGGCCACCGGGCAGGCCAACCTCCTCGCCCGGCTGGATCAAACGCTCCTGCTTGTGGTTAGCCTTCTTGGGTCCTGGGTTGGAGGCTCTGGCCCCGGATCCCCTCAGAAAGACCGCCAGGGTCAGAGACAAGCTAGAAAACAGCAGCACTATGCAGAGTGCCAGCAGGGAGTAGAGCAGGACGGTGGAGTCTTCCAGGGCTGTCGGCGCTGAGAGCACAGGAGGTGACGTAGCAGGAGGGATAGAGAGGAAGAATGATGGCTCTTAGTCATCTGAGTCTTAGGAGGAAAGACCTTCAAGACAAAATAACAAGCGCTGTTGCTTTTGACTAACGACGTCTAGATAGCAGGAGTTTTCCAGGAATTCTTCCTCTTAAAGGTCTGGCTCTGTTTACACTCCAAATACACTGCTCGACCATAAGTAATTGGACAGTAACCCCCCTTTTACTTTCAAGGTCTGTGCTTCAGCACGTTCAATTTGAAATGAAATAGAATATACTACGTTTATAAGTGCCGAGTCTCAACAGTACAAAGCATGAGTAACTGTCCAAATACATATGGCGTGGAGCGTGTGTACTGTATAAAATGGGTATATCTATCAAGAATAATCTCATGTTACAAGAAAAGATCTCATAATAATGAAATCTTTTCTCGTAAGTACGAGATCTTTTCTCATAACGGTGTCTATTTCTTCTTTATTCTGGAAATGCGCTTCTGTAGTTTACACACTGGGAACTAGCCGCATTCTTATTTTTTTTTTAAAGGCTTTTTTGAGCATTGTGTGCCTGTGTTGGGCAGCCAGTAGTGAAGCGATGGCAGGAAGTGAAGGGAGAAAGAGAAAAGGAGTGATATGCGGCAAAGATCTCCAACAAAATGAAACCTGGAACCTTTGTCAGCGCCCCCCCAGCTCCTGGTCTCAAGGGCAAGCAACACTACTCACATTCTCCACCAAAGCACAATCAACAGGCATTTATCTCTAGACAGAAGTAAACATCCTCCAGTTGGCTAACTTCCACAAAACCTCATTGCAATTGCTATTCATTTCTATTTTGTCCAGAGTTCCTTCTTTGCCATTTAACTTTTCGTCATCCTCTGAGGTCTAACGTCGGCAACAAAACACAACATTCATGCCTCACTAAATAATTAAAGCTCTAATCCAGGCCAGCAGGGTCAGTACTCACTCTGGCAGTGCTGGGAGCATTCTGCTGGATGTTTGCCACAAATCTCAGTGCACCTCATACATTTCTTCAGCAGCACATCATAGTAGTGGCCAGGCAGTGCCTTACAATGTGCGGACTCTAACGCAGGAAGACACGTGAAAGCAATCAGGACAAGTGGAGGACATGACGACCTGAATTCACATCTGTCCTGTCCATTTAGCATCACGTTCACAGTTTCTCTTCCTTTAACGTTACTGATGGATCACCTCCAGGAAATAATCTCTTAAAAAGCAGGTTACATTCATACTTCATTTATTTAACACAGTTTTGATAGCAAGGGAAATGAGATGGTGAACAGCAGTGAAACAATCTAACTGATGCCTTTGTCTCCTTCAAATGCTGTCTCTTGTTAAAGCCCCTGTAACTATCCTTCCTACCTTTAGGACCATCAGGGCAATTACAAACTGCTGTTTCAGTTTAGTATTATCTGATAACCCGGTCTCATGTCAGTTAGTGTCCACGTACACGAAATGTAATTTATTAATTTTGTGTACATGGGCACGAATTGTCCATTTATTTTTTCTTTTGTGACAGCACAACTTTTAGTTTGTGAAATAGTTAAGACATAAAATGTTGTGAATCCTGTTCATTTAGTGGAATTTTCCATTGTTTTTGTGACAAAACTTACACTTTTTTAATGGTTTCTATTGTTTGGACTGTCACAGCACTTGGTTAAAGATAGGGAAAGGTAGTGGCCTGCTTCACAGTGACTGCGTCTGTAAACCTGGGCCTCTGCTGTGTAAGTTGTGCACTTTCTACACCCACCATCCAACCTAACCCAACCTACCTGCTCTTTAATGAATGTAGCGCCTCATTCATTCAAAAACATAAGTTTCCATTTCAAGCTGCGTGTCACGAAAAAAAAAACATGGACAGTTCATGTCCAGGTGCACGAAATCAACTGATTAAATTTCATGCACCTGGACATGAACTGACGTGAGACTGTGTCGGACATACTGCATGTAACAGAATATCAAGATCAACAATACAATCAGACATCGGTTACAGCTTCAGCTTCCCTTTTTTTTATTTCATAGCCTATCACAACCTTTAAACTTTATATGTTCTTATACCTCTGTCCTCACGTGCGTGTATGCATGCGTGTACTCACCACAGTAACTGATGCATTTGCTGATGACTTGTTGTTCCTGGCATACCGATTGACAGTTTATACATAATTTGAGCAAGGCATCCCAGAACTGACCCTCAGGGCAGCTTTCTTCCATCAGCCCTGATAATCCTCACACTGATAAAACAAACACAGACACACGGAGAGGTAAGTGTGGAGGAAACGGCTGTGGCATGTGAGTATAGATATGTAACTACTTTATGCATGTGAAAGAGGAGAGGTGGGGAATATACTGTTTACATAAGTGTACGTCCACAATTCAGCTTCAAAATGTTAAATATTAACCGAATACTGTAAATAGACGAGACAATATTAAATAAATGATCCTATGAATAAATAAACCAATGGAATGCACCAATGAATTGTTAAATAATTTAATAAATTATTAAAACTAATTACTAGACTAATTATTTTAATTGTATATCAAGGTGACTTTGTTATACTCTACTATACTGTATTGAGCCTGAAGAGTAATCGTATTGTAGGAATAGGATATGCTGTTGTACAGTGTACTGGAAGGATCATGGGAAAAAGTGCAACTTTGCATTGTGGGATAACACTGACAGTAACTCTGAGTCCACCTGTTTTAAACCTAATTTGCATCCACTTGTAATAATCCTTATAACAGTTTATAACAAAAGAACTGTATGGCCAAAATGCATTTAGGAGATCCTCATTTGAAAGGTAACTCTAACTCTAACTCAGCTGTTTCCACAACCTCCCACAGCCTATTGGCCTTCGCTCAGAAGTGCCCACCCCCCTAGTTTGCTCTGATTGGTCAGGGGAGACGTCTATCTACAGCGTCATTCAGAAATGTGGGGGAAAAAAAACAGGCATTTTCCGACAGAAAAGATCACGTCATTACGTCTTACTCTGGGTTTATGCTTGCCGCCTTTCCCGACCTCCTTGAAGCACAATCTGATTGGATCTTTACCAAAACATCCACGATCTTTACAGGGAGGCCGCCATTTTTTAGCCGGGAAGCTAACAAACAATAGCAGACCCGCTAACATCCGCCGGTGGAGCCGGACGGAGAGAGAGAGGGAGAGGAGAAGTGAGGGAAGAACAGCGGATACAAATCGCTCGGTCCTTATCGCTTCGGACTTCTCATGACGATATTCACAACCTGGAATACTTTTATGAAGAAACCATTTTGATTTGTGTGACCCGTGGACCGTTACCGACCAAAGGAATATGAACAACTGAGGGATGGAAAGAGAATCGGAGCTCTACACGTCTAAACGGTAGGCAGTCACCACACAGTCACCACACTCTGCTGTTAGATATTGATAAATCATATTTATGCGCTTGTGTTTAGCGCAAAATTAACTGAATATTTCAAATCTAGAGACTCTAACCGATGTAACGAGGTACAGCCTGTTTATATGAACAAAGGTTTACTCCTTCAAAACACGTTCAGAAGTCTACCGGGCCCTGACACGGGACAGCGGGCCATGTATGACTGACTTTTATCCAGTTTTAAGCAACATTTTTACATTACACTTTTTAAATAGTGGTTGTTTTTAATTGTATTTTAGTAATCCGACATCTGGATTTAAGATATTTCAAGTTAATCGGAGTTACAGCGGCAGTGAAACCACACACCTGTGTGTGTGTGAGAGAGAAAGAGAGAGAGAGAGGAGAGAGAGAGAGAGAGAGAGAGAGAGAGAGATACCTGAAACCTATAAATAAGACAGATTTTTAGATGTTGAATTAGCTGTAGATAATTAGCCAAATATCTTCGGTTTAACAATTACTGAACTCCCTGTTTCACCTCTGAATCATCACATTTGTTCCAGTTAAGAAACAAAGCATGGGCCCCAGGACCCCCTCCCATTCAGACAGCTAAGACATAAATGCACCTCCTCAATAAACAAAAGCTAAATTTATCTTAATTCTGTAAAGTGGTTAGCTCCACTAAAAATAACAGTGTTTCCTCTCTGCCCACTCTTGTCAGTTACAGGAAATCTCAGCATGACGGGAAATGACATTCTTAACTAGATACTCTGATTTACCACCAATCAGGTTCCCTGCTACTTCCTTATTTTAAATTATATGATTCTTCACAGATTATTTAATATAGAAATTGATCCTAATTCCTTTAGATGGTTTAAACAGTTATGTCTCTCTGACAGACAACAGTGACGACTGTGCAGACAGGTTTTGTTGACGCAATACCTCCGTAACACCTTGAGGGAATTTCTCCAAATTTAGTTCAAGGACAAACTGATTAGACTTTGGTGGCTAGAGTTCAAAGGTCAAGGTCACGGTGACCTCACAAAACATGATTTTTACCTTGTGAGCACAATATCCCGAGAACTCCTCGGGGGAATCCCTTCAAGTTTGGCACAAACGTTCACTTGGATGTAAATATGGAGCTTGAAGATTTAATTTTTCAATTTCTTCACATTGTGTTACGTTGCAGCTTTGTGCCTCATCAATGTACAACCAATACTCCCATAACGACAGAGTGAAAACTGAATTTTAGAAGTTTTTGCAAATTTATTGAAAAGGAAAAAAGTGAAATATAACATTGACTAAAGCAGTCAAACCCTTTGATATGACATTTGAAATTGAGCTCATTTCTCTTGACTGTCTTTGAGATGTTTCTACACCTTGATTGGAGTCCACCTTTGTTTCATCCCATAGGAGGATTTTGCTTCAGATGATCTGGTTATCACCGGTTATAGGGCAGGTGTTTTTGATAATACAGTATTGGTTTAACTGTGAAAGGTGTAAGAAGCAAGTGTGAGCTGTGAGCTTCCGAATGTGTGATAGTTGTAGGAAAAAGAGTGCGGAGTCTGTCTTTGAACCAGTTAAGCTCTATTATTCGGTGTATACTGAAGAACTCTTTGAACTCTCTGCCTTTAGCTTCAAAAGCAAAGCCGACCCATTTCCTTCGGCGTTTGAAAACTTGTCGTAGAGCGGTCCTCGCAAAACAAGTACACGCTAATAATTCAAAGATCAGGGGCGATCAGCAGCATGCCCTCCTTTCAGCAACCCGTGAACTTCCATCATTTTTCAGAAATCATGTCTAAATCATGTCTGAATCATGTCTGTATTCTCGAGTACAGTCCTCTTCGCTCCGGTGAGCACTGAATCAGTGGACTGTGAAGGGCACACATCCAGACCTCCCCCGCCCTCCACTGCTTTCACACACAGAAGTGTAGGCCGGATTTATTCTTGAATATATGTCACACCCTGATAATCAGAACTCGGTGTTTTACTCTTGCCCCCTTTCAGATTCTGTGTACCGTTCAAACAATGTGTGATCATCGTAAACACATAATACGCTTCCAAGTCCCTACTATGCAAAACAGAAGTATTTACTTCTATACAAACCAAAGCCACACATTTCTTCTGTCTCATATATTTATACATCATTTATCTGTTTTTCCATTTTGAGATATTTTATAAGCTTCTCATTTTGTGTGTGTGTGTGTGTGTGTGTGTGTGTGTGTGTGTGTGTGTGTGTGTGTGTAACTGGAGACAGAACTGTGTTCAGAGCAACGAGCTACAGACACGCCACAAACTTTAATACTTGTGTTCACTACTACCATATGCCCGGCTGCCCCACCTGGACCGCATGTATACTGACCACAAATCCTGAAAACACAACATTCAGTTTGCTGTCGTGACCCACTGTGGGTTGAAAAAGGGAAAAAGGATGTTTGAAGCGATCACTCACCTGGCGAGACGAAGAAGCGGTGGCAGAATTCTTTAGCTTGAAGATGAGACTAAGTCAGGCCTCTGTATTTCAGTCTGGAAGCTCATTTGAGTATGAACTCACTGCTTGGGCTGGGACTTCCCCTTCCCCACTCTGTGTGAGGAGGACCCCCCCCCCAACACACACACACACACACACACACACACAGGATGGTTTGACTATGATCAACAGGAAATATTCCACATTTAAAAATCTGTCTAGTTTCATGAGGATTGTGAGTTTACCGGTCCTGCTGCTAATCTGGATTATTAGGGTCTGACTAGCTTTGACTAATTGCCTCCAGAACATCAACATTGTTGAGTTTGAAGGTTCGTTCTTCAAGGTCCACTTTCTTGGTTTGCTTGGTCGTCATGGAGATGGCAACTGACAACAATTGAAATAATGTAAGCATTGTTTTGTTGCCATTCCTGTGTAGTTTTATGATTGGAGTTGCTGGAATATAACTAAATCTTCTTCCAATATAACATAAGAATAAATATGATTTTTAATAATAATAATAAAAGGTAGTTTTATATTATATTATTATTATTTATATTATTGTAGTAGCTAAGTTTCCATCCAGATGTAAGACAAAATACACATTTGTTCAAATTAGCATTAGTTCACATATCCTGTTTTTCATTGGAATTAAAAACATTCAAATGTCTAACCTATAAAGACGCATATCTCCCTGCTACAGATGCTGCATCTAAAATAATAATAATAATTTAAATGGTTTGGTCTTTGAAGGAGCTCCACAATATTTTACTGTCTAATGTCAGATTTTTATTAAACTGAAATATGATATTTTATTTATTTGACATGAAAATATGATAAAAAAATAGTGAATGATTGAAATATTATAATCTCAAATATTATAATTAATGTATCAATCTTTGTATGAACCTTGAAAAAGTCACTTTTCTAAAGCCCGAACTTACTGTTAACACACAGTCCCCACACTGACTCAGTGTTACAGGTATGAATGCAGATGTGACTAAACCCACTTTCTGAGTATCAGTGTGAAACTGTCTTCACACCTTTCCACACAGTCTGTTTTACTCTCCACTGAACACCAGGTCTCAGCTTCAGTTCTGTAAACGAAAGAAAGTGAATGAAGTGTATTATTTATAAGCACGTCCTGAACACCTGGAATCTTTAAAAATGTGTATGAAAGTTTTATTTTGGGTTTTTTTTGTCCCACAACAGAAACAAAGAACTATTTAAATCTCTGCAGAGTGGAACAAAGTGGCAGCAACCTATGAAGCTATTTCACACTGTTTGCTCAACTAATACCTACTGTAATTATCATTGATGTATTTATATAAAGAAAGCAAAATGAGAAAAGTGATGAAATCGTAAAAGGTTGAAAACATTAAACAGGTTAATAG